TCGGTCCGACGGACATGTCCGATAAATTTTGATCAGGTCCGACGAGTTTTTATTCCGGATCGGTCCGACTGTCCGGCTTTTATCCAAGCTGCATGTATACAAAATGGCGTCGCTAAAGGTGCCAAACCTTGGAAAAATCAAAAATCTACGTCAGAGGAACGCGCAGAACAGCAGTAAAAGGATAAAAAGAAAAGACCTGAGACAAAATTTAATGAAAAATAGAAGCAAGACAATGAATCGTTGGTGTATGATAGGGAGGAGATGAAAATGTGCTGTAAGGAATGTGCCGATTTTTACAGCGAAAAAATTAAAAACAAAAAGTGTCTTAAAAATACAAACACAAGTTATTCTTTGATTTTGATCAATTTTATTTGGTCCGACAGATTTCGTTTCGGTCCGACAGATTTTTATGGTTTGTCAGACCGAATGTCTGACAGTTTTTTTCAACTTTCGGGAAGTCTGCCAAACATTCATTCCGACGATTTTACTTTGCATGCATGTACCCCATGCTTACAATTTTTATGCGTGCATCTAGAATTTTGTGCGTGAATTACGCACTGTAGTGCGTGAATGGGCATGCTGCATTGTAGTCCAATAAATTAGACGTTACAGGCTTGTTAAAATTTTTGTCGGTCAAGCCTGACGTCTAATAGTTATTGCTCAAAAACGCATAGCATCATAAAAAATTCCAAAAATGTCTATTGTCCTGCCTTGCAAGCTTTATTCAAAAGATTATCATATTTTCTTTCAATTTCATGCTCAATCATACACAAAAACTGTCAAACGATGTACTTATCAATTTAAAATAAAATATAAACATCAATCTGTTTTTGTCTATCAGCCATACTGGTTAAACAAGGTGCTTTACAGATTGATTCCAAATTTTTGAACGGAAAAATATATTCAAACACACTGACGGTGAAAGGGCAATTATTTCGTTAAAAACATATTCCGTTAGATCGTTCTGACTCAGTTAAACGCTTGCATTTGAATTAGCCAATCAGATTTCGCGCACTTTACGGCCGCCATTTGTTTATCGGCTGTAAAAGGAATTGAAATACATGAGAGGATTTAATCATGATTTTTCGGATGTGACAGTTTAATTATTTTGACAAAAGGTATTTATTTTTTAGTTTTGTTCATAAATAGGTAAAAAAATATGTAAATACACGCTGTCTTCATTGTTTTTCGTTCCGCCCGATTTTCTGGCGGAACATGCTATGGGTTTTTGAGCAATTTCGATATGACGTTGCTTTGCCCAGAAGCAAAATATCTCAAAGCGACGTCATATTTATAGGACTAGCTGCATTGTTACCTTCATGAAATTATGATATTTTAGCACTGACTTTTTTAAACGTTAAAATAGCGGAAGTTCAAGACGACCAGGTCGTAATAATATGCAAAAATAGTTTGATTTACCGTTTGCACGATAAAAACAGACATGGTGTATACATGTGCTGATCAAGAAGGTGAGCCACGTACATAACCCAAAGTGTCTGTGGACCGGTTTGATTCTTATCGTGCGAGACAGCCCTGGCATGAGATATTTTCAGTAAAATATCAAATAAAATCAGTAGTCACAATTTAAACTAAGGAAATTATGCAGATCAACGTTACACTGTTAGGTAATCGGGCACAAATAGTAATAAGTGAGCTCTTGGCAGACACGATACACAAATTATATTATACATGGCTGTAATTTTGTAAAAGATAAAATCATAAAATATCAAAAGCATCGGCTTATATCCTGTTAAAGCAGTCAGTCAGGATAAAAAACAAACCTACGTCAATTCAACTGTAGGTTTATTTATCTTCGAAATGACATGATAATCGGTAAGTATCACGAAAATTTAAGTATCATTACCATTTTCGGCTAGTTGTTATTTACAAGCCAGAACCGGAAAGACCTCAAGAAAGAAGGATGAACAAGACTAAATATTTTAAAGCGCGAAAAGACGACCGTGTCTTCAATTTAAGGTAAATTTCCTTATCAATATGGGGTGTACACGTATATACATATATCATTAAAAACGTTCCTGTCAATATCAAAAAATTTTTTTGTCGTTATGTTGATTTTTCCGTCACCTATACTGGTTTGGGACCAAAGCCAGACAACCATCAAACACGGGTGGCCCTGAAAATGCCTGATTAAGTTATTTTTCTTTGCCTAGTGGTTGACAATAAATCAGCCGCTATTTCATCAATAGTAAATACACATTTCTTCTGTAATAAAGTATTTGAATTTACTTCACCCTTTGCAAACAGTAACATTTTTTGATGATTATTTTGAATTCATTGACTTTGAAAATTTGGAAGTCTAGAGTGTGATGCCTGATACAAGATACAAGAAACTTTATTTTAAGTCGGTTTACATATTACAAGAAACATTAGCTAATAAGCTATTTACCGACACTAACAAAGGCATAAAACATATATACTAACATATAACAGATCTGAAGGTAAAAACATATAAGGTAATAACAGTTTATAAAAGTAATAAATGACTGTAGTATAGAAATTTAAGTTTGATACATGTAGCAGTGTGAAATAAATAATAATAAAAATAATAATAAAAATATAAAATTAATAAAATAGTAATAGTTATTAGTTAACATCTAGAATTTATACGTAATTGAAGGTTTCCTAAAAAATAAATAAATAGATAAATAAATTCACTTACTTATAAAAAAAAGTACATAAAAATTTATGATAGAACTAAAACAGCATAAAAAAGAAACAAGATGAAGCACATACAGGGTATAAAACAAAGTTAACTAAAATTAAGTTGCATGCACAGCCTAATCTTCAGAAATGTTGTATATAGAGGATATTAAATGAGTGTAGTTTGATACTAAATTTATTGAACGAGTTGAATAAAATCATATTATGCGAGCCTCTGGCGAGCATAATATTGTTTTATTCAACGAGTTCAATAAATTTAGTATTGAATCTGCACGAATATAATTTTCTTTTTATCACATATATAAAATAAGAAAAGTAAACTGTTAAAATGAGTAATTTTTCAATGACGCGCCTATAGTGTAACGCTATCATTTGCGCGCTTTAACGCTATGTTTCTTTATAGCGCAAATGACGTCACGTCAAAGTGTTATTACACTAGTGTAATATCGTTTTTATTAAATGGCTTTATTACACTCCTGTGCCGCGTTTTATGTGATAAATCATGTTTAAAGTAAAGAAAAAATAATTCATCAAAACTTTAAACTGGATTAAATCAATAATTGTCATAAAAATAAGTTTTTCATTTGAATGAAGGATTTTAAAAAAAATGACAAGAAAAACTACAGCAAAGTCATTCAGATACTAGTAGGTTACGAAAATGTATACATGTATATTAATGCCACAAACGCACATGTATTTAAAACAGTGTCTTCCTAATTAAATCTGTTTGAAATTATAAAACTATAACTATTTGCATAATTTTGTGGATGTTTGTAAGCATGCGTGCTTTTGTGTGTAATACATTAAAAATGATCAAATATAATTAATGAATTAATGAAATGTTATTTCAGTCTAATAAAATATGTTATTTCATACTTAAAAAGTCAATAAAGTTACAGTGACTTAACCATACTATAGAAAGAGATGTAGATATAACAGAGATAAGCAGCTCCCATATACTCCTTTGAAATATCGACCATGACGGTCAAAATGTGAAAAATACGGCATTTTGTAGGTTTGACCCTTTTATAATATACACCATTTGCAAGATTAATCTTTTATTCGTTGCTGAATTTTAAAATATTGGTAACTTTTTATGCCTTTCACACGCACACGCACTTTATAAGTTCCAATTAAAAATGTGTACATAATTTTAAGTTCCTATTATTATTTTATTGTATAGTAAAATAAGAACATATCAATGGTGTAGCTTTTATAGTGCAGTATACATTATTATTTCATGAAAGTAAACCAGTGGCCCACAAATAATATATTACTTACAATACCATGTGTCTGGACAAATAAATGCCGATAAATGTAGACACGTCAAAGTAAACATAAATAAAGTAAATGTGCTTACAGTTGGGTTAAATGATTAATAAGTTCAAAAGTAAAGCATTTCTATGGATGATTGAAAAGCGCTAGTGTGATCTAAAATGGTAGTATGTTCAATTTGACAAACATATACATATTCAACAAACACTTTCCAATGGTATGGGGCTCCAAGGTCTTTCATTATGACTGATAAATACTTCAAGTTCTTATTGTATATATCAATAAAAACTAATTCATCGTGGAGCTTGATGTAATAAAAGTCTCTGACTTTACTATTTATATAAATGTGAATTTGTTCGAAATAAACTATGATCCTTAAAGATCTTAAAGATCCTATAACACAATTTTGTATGGTTTTATATCTTAAATATGATGCTCAAAGTAAAATTTATCAATTTTGTAAATTTATTCCAAAAAGCATTATTTATAAAGATATTACCGAGTATAACATTTCATGTAAATAAAGGGAGGTAATGAAAAATTTATTTTCTATTAAGTCTAAGTCAATTTTTTCAATAAGAAATGAATGCATATATTTTAATGATTACATAATTTTTTATATAATGTGCACAAATATTTGCAGTACATATTTTACATATTCTTCGCTGTTTGAAAACTGATTTATAAGCATAATTATATACATATGCAAAATTTCACTTGAGTGTGGTATACAACCTCAATAATAACATACAGCATCTTTAAACTTGAGCAAATGTTACATTCTATGTTACATGCTATTGAGTAAACATATATGTTTATGTATTTATTATTATTATTGCTAATCTGAGATACTAATGGAAATAGCCAAATTTAGAAGTTCTTACTTTACCGCTATTTGAACAATTAAATAAATCTTCAACAACTGTAAAAAGGCCTCTTGCATGCTTATTATTTTTATTGTATACAAACCGGTCTCTCAAATATCGACGTCAGAAAGACCATCAACTAAAATGAATAGTGCTCTTTGACCTATAGAAGGATTATCTCCCTTTAAAGAACCAATGAAAAGTCATAATGGCAGCTTCCGGTAGCAATAAATCGGACTTTGGACTTCCCGATTTAGCCTCCCTCTCTGAATCAGAAAGGATTCAGGTTTTGGCAGTCATGCAGAAAGCGAAAGTAAACACATCATTTCAAATTAGAATCGCTATTTAAACAATAGGGATAGTAATAATGAGCAAAATAGTCTTGTATTTTGAGAATAATTTGCTAAAACTTTAAAATCAATATAGAAGTTGATAACTTATAGATCTATTTATTTATAACTGCATTATATATTCGGAATATCCCGGACTTTTCGCACGAATTAGGTCTACTGTACATATAAAAGGTATTTAAAACAATTTAGTCAAAATATTTTGACGTGTTGTATTGTTCTAAGGTAACAACTTACCGGTACGTTACGATACCGAAATCAACTTGATTTCGGTAAAGTTACCGAAATCAACTTTTCATTACCGAAATCAACTTATAAAATCACAATTAAGCGTTTCATTATATTTTTTTCATTATAATATATTACAATAGGCTAAGTTTGACTTTCATGCAAAAAATCAGTTCGAAATAATTATTAATAATGAAATTAGAAACAAATAACTAAATATCAAGATTATTCCCTGATTTGTCGCGAACCGAAATATATGTTACAATACCGAAATCGACTTGTAAAATCATAATTAAGCGTTCTATTATATTTTTTTCATTATAATCTATTACAATAGGTTTAGTTTGACTTTCATGCAAAAAATAAGTTCGAAATAATTATTTATAATGAAATTAGAAACAAATAACTAAATATCAAGATTACTCCCCTGATTTGTCACGAACCGAAATATATATGTTACCATACCGAAATCGGCTTGTAAAAGTTAAAATAAACATTTTAATAGATCTTGTTTAATTAATTAATATAAAGTCATCCCTATATAATATGTATCAAAAGACTTTTTTTATAGTTTTATAGTATAAATATTTCAGATCTACTAAGCTGGTAAAATATAATTTTATATTGAATAAATTGTCAAAAGATCTGTTTTAACTAACATATAGGGGTGATCGCGATACGTTTCCGTATCGGTATATGAGACAAGGTGCTTTGATATTATTATTACCAAATTGCATATCAGTTGTTCCAAAAATGTATGCAATTTTTGATGTCCCGGATACTTAACTACATATTCTACTTATTGAAAAAGTGTTAAGTCATGATTTTATGTTGATCGATTTAAAATCAATTTTAATTTCATATCTGTAAACAGCATAAATTTATGGAATGACTGGTATATATTTATATGATGGAAAAAATGGAACACTTTATACTGACAAATTTCAATTATGAAATGTTGTAACTTGTACGATTTGACATGTTGTGTATAACTGTATTAAGAAAGGTGTGAAGTAATTAAGACAGGAGGTACAGTTGGCATACAGTGTATGTTAAAGATAAAAGATTATAATGAACAATCTGTTTATGTCGTCATACACATTTAAATAAATGACTAAAATTTAAAAATATTATGATAAAGAGTCCCCATAACATATGTTAGCGATTTGTTAATATATATAGTTTAACTGTTCAATAAAAGAAAGACACAAACTTCCCAATTTTACTGCCTGATACATTATACAATTTTTAGAGCAGTCGAATTATATATCTGTATTCAAATTTATAATAGAAAATCATAAACTTTCGGTTGAAGTTGGATATTTTTTCTTCATAAAACATTAACATGTACAAAATTTATAAATATTTTTAACTCATATTACAGAGTATTTTATTTTTCCATCATAGTCCGATCATAGCTTTTTAAAAATACGATTTGATTAGAAAACTGTTACGCACGACATTCACGTGCACATGCTAAATGGCGGTATAAGACTTTTTCTTAAATCATTATATACATTGCATTCTAATATGAAATTGTATTCGTCTTCTAAGACATTACATGAAAAATATTTTCTATCATTTAAAGGTGTACTATTTGGTTTAGTTCATCAGTTTCAGTTTATTGGCAAATCGGCATATACAATATACCTTTGGCCATTTACAATATACAAAAGGATGGCCAAGATAATACAATTTACATTTAACATAAATACAATACATGAAATACAATACAGTTATAATACAAGAACCTAAGAAGCAGCAATAATTGCAAGTTTTTCATTTCTCAAATGCATAGCATAAAATACAAATTTGGCAATATTCCTAATAGTTCTATTATTACTTGAAGACAATAATCTAGTAAATTTATTAATGCATGGAAAAGAATAATTAACATTATATTTTCGACGAAGGTTTCTATAGAGTGGACAGCATAACAAAAAATGATATTCAGATTCAACATTAAGTGTACAAAGTTTACAAGTTCGTAGGTTTCGATCAATACCTGCAAATCTACCACTTTCAATTTCAAGAAGATGGGAACAGAGTCTAAAACGAGACAATTCTTTTCTTTGATGCTCATTTGTAACAATATCTAGATACTTTTCATATTTAAACTCACATTTGAATTTTCTATAATTATATAACTTAGATTGATTCATTATTGTATCATTCCATGTTTGAACGTACTGATCACGTAGCCTTTGTTTTAACATTGGCAAATAATTCATATCAAGGTTTAGAGAATTCCATAAGTAGCTATATCCAAGACTATCAAGTTGTTTTTTAACAGACGATGACCAAGTAGACATGGTATTATTAGGTAACAAAGCATATGTTCCAAAAATATTGTATGTACTAATGACCCTGGATATTTCATTATATTTAACCAGTATTTAAGAGCACGTTCTTTACAGATAACAGATAAAGGAAAGCGACCAAGCTCTCCAAGCACAGCAGCATTGGAAGTCTGAGGTCGAACACCAAGGACTATTTTACAAAAACGGAGATGCAATTTGTCGATTTCTTTGCAGTTATATATTCCCCAGACTTCAGATCCATACAATAGTATTGGAACAACGAGAGAGTCGAATAGGGACAATTTAGTTTTAATGTCTAGTTTTATTCTACTAAACACAGACAACAAATTGTTATATGCCTTCAGAGCTTGGTCGCTTAAAGTTTTTACAGCATTAACCATAGAACCAGTATAAAAGAATTGTATACCAAGATAACAAAATGAATCAACTATTTCAATAGGCTCATTATCAACAAACCAGGTATAGTTATGTCTAGATTTTCTCTTTTCAAAAATACATATTTTGGTTTTATCTACATTAATTTTCAAACCCCATTTTCGTGAATACTCATATACCTGGTTGAGTTGGAGTTGTAGACTGTCAGGATTGGTAGTAAATAGTGCAATGTCGTCAGCAAACAATAACATGTACATTGACAATAAATTTATATCATCATTAGGAAAGTTGTGAGAAATTAATACAAGAAGATATATCATTTACAAATAAAATAAAAAGAAGGGGCGAGAGTGGTTCCCCTTGTTTCAGTCCGAGTGAGATATCAAAGAATTGAGCATTCGAGCTATTATCATGATTTTTTATACACGACTTAACATTTTCATAAATCGCTTTTATCATTTTAATAATTTTGCAGCTAATTCCAGACTGTACTAATTTTATCCATAAAGCCTCGTGTATTACAGTATCGAAAGCTTTCTCGTAGTCAATAAAGGCACAATAGAGTTTACACTTATTTAACAAAACCTTCTGAATTATCGCATGCAAAAGAAAAATACAATCAGCAGTACTACGCTTATCTCTGAACCCAAATTGGCTGTCATTCAATACATTTTCATTTTCACAAAATTTATTAATACGATTACGTAATACAAGCGAAAATATCTTAGCAACAACATTTACAAGAGTTATCCCTCTATAATTAGCAGGGTCAGTATAATCACCCTTTTTATGAATTGGAACAATTGCTCCTTTACTCCATGCCTCAGGATATTCACCTTTATCATAAATAACATTAAAAATTTTGACAAGATATGGTGCAATAAATTCGTTTGAATCAATAAAAAAATCTGCTACATTTCCATCAATATCACTGCTTTTAAAACGATTTAAACTGGAAATGGTTTCCTTTACCTCATTTAAGGAGAAAGGACAATCAAGACTGTCTATGTAAAGTGCTTCATCTCTAACACCATAATCATCATCATTAAAAGTACTCTCGTGTTGTGTGTTCGAAATATTACGAAAATGGTTAATAAAATCATCTAGACTAATATCATTTCCTTTTCTATTACATCTATTATTATATTTACGTATATACTTCCAAAATTTTCTAGAGCTACTTTTGCTAAGATCCGACAAAGTTCGTTTTTCTCTATCAAAATAATTCCTTTTAGCGATTTTTTTACATTACAAAATTGTTTACGTGCATTCAAAAATAAATGTCTATGTACATCAGTTGGACTTTCGCTAAATAGTCTTTTACATCTATAAAACTCAATTTTACTAGCTTTGCATTCGTTATTAAACCATGGTGACCGCTTAACATTTGGTCTAATTGTACGCTTCAGCGAACAAGTTTTACCTTGAAGCTGAAATGAAATATCAAACACAATATTAGAAAAGTCATAAATACAGGTATTTATATCAGATTCATTCAACATGAGTTTATTAGTTATTTCCTCGAATATAGCCCTTTTATCATTCAAAACTGTATTCAATTTATTAATATCACAATTTTCCCATACAATTTTGTTAAATGAATTAAAATTAACTACTTGTGTTTCCATATGCATATAATTGAGATTAAACGATATTGAACAATGATCCGAAAATTCGGATAAATCATGTACTTTCATACAATCGATCAAAGAAAATACATCTATATCAGTAATAACATAATCGACCACGCTAGCGGCCCTATTGTTACGTATTGTATTATAGCAAGTAAATTTTCCTGGTTCTAATCGACCATTCAATATATATAAACTATTTTCCTTACATAGGCTTAGCAATTTATTACCAAAGCTATTTAAATGGTGATCCAATGATGATCGTACCGGTAGATTTACCGAGACGTTATCACTCAAGGGCATATCAATATAGCGGTCAAGGTTAATATCATTCACAACATCTGACCTTTGACCTACTCTAGAGTTTAGGTCACCGGTCAACATGACATTACCTAATTGTCTATAATGACGTATATCGTCAGCTATTAACTCAAAGAAGTCAAAATCAAACAATGGTGAATCCCTATTCTTATACACATTTGAGTCTTCGGGCGGAATATAACAACTACAAACATAAATGTCATTCAAAGTACCAAAATAAGATTTTTTCAGTTTAAACCATATCACACCTTTATCGTTTAAGCTCATTAACTCAATATGATCTGATAGTTTCTCTTTATAAAATATAATTATACCACCGCTGTAACGCTTTGCCCTTTTATTATATTTAGGCCGCGGACACGAAAAACTTTCAAAGTGATCTATGCTAATATTTGATATTTTAGAATTCCAGGTTTCAGTAGTAATGATAATGTCATATTTGTTTAGAAAATTGATAAAGTCACTATCATTCAGTTTTTTACAAATTCCTTGCACATTCCAAAGAAGAAATTTTAGCTGCTTCTCATCTGCTTCCTATTCATGGGTCATAGCTTGCTCGTCCGGCTGCATATCCGCTTCACGGCGAGCATTCTGTATGCCAGACGACGCTCGCGGGCTTGAGTCCCTCTTACTGTTGTCCACGGTGCGCATATTCACGTGTTTGCCTTGCTGCCACCGTGGCGCTTGTGTCGGTGCTGGACCTGGCGGTAGGCTGTCAGCCGTGTAAGCGCGATTCTCGATGTATAGAGTGTCATATGAAAGAACTGCCTCTTTATTATTTTGCCTAGCTTGAATTAGGTAGGGAATAAGTATTTTCCGTCGTTCTTGAATAGCTTTCGGGAATTGGTCACTTATGCGATATTGTTTGCCATCAAGATTATCCCGCGCTTTCTGTTTTACTTCCATTTTGTCGCCATAATAATTAAACTTCACGACTATCGGCCGAGATTTTTTAGGGTCAAATTTTCCAATTCGATGGGCTCGGTCGATTTTGAATCTAGTTTCAGCATCATTAATACCGAGCTTAGATGTACAAAAATTGATAATTTTGATTTTACAGTCCTCCGTTCTGCGATCATCACGTGACTTTTCCTCGTCAAAATTAAAGAAAAGGAGGTTATCCCTCATAAGCCTAGATGTAACATCTACTATATCATCAGACATACTTTTATTCTCTAATTTTAATTTTTCAACAGTTTTAGCCAGTGCAGCATTTTCATCTTTTTCGGCTTTCAAGAGTTTTTCAAGTTGTTTGTGTTTATTGCTCAACTCATCACATACCTGCGTATCAAAATTTCTGCTTACCTCCATTTCCGTGAGACGACTATTGGTATCAGTTACTTTTGTTTCAAGTGATAATACACGTGTTTCAACTGACGAGATTTTCTGCGATATTTTACACATTTCAGATTCAAGTTTATCTAATTTTGAAAGCTTAGTTTCTATAGATTTTTGGTGGGTCTCTATAGAGGTCAATTTTGACATCATAGAATCGTACCATGGTTGCTCAAATGTATTTGGAACTGTAGATGGAGTTGTCGGCGAGGTTGGTGGCCCGGTGCTACCGGGAGTACTCAGTGGTGGTATCACCGTGCCATGTAACAGTTGTAAGTGCGGAGGGAAGTATTGGCCCATATATGGTGTACTGGCAGTCTGCGGACTTGTTTGATAGCTGTTCGAGCCAGGGGATGCCATCCCAATACCCGATATAAGCGGCGAAATGTGTGATTGATCAGATGCTACTGAACGCTTTTCCGGTTCATCTACCTGATTCTATGTGCAGTCTATGAGATGATACTCTTAACCTAGTGAGATCTTTACAAAACCGTTCAACATTGATAATATTTAGATATGGTTGAAACTTAAAAACAGAAATATGTCTATAAAATAGAGCTCTACTAGAGTTATCTAATCTATTATCTACTAATTATATACATAATTTAAACTTCACAGCTGATTTCGGTAATGCTAAAAACATAACGGGTTGTTTAGAACAAAGGGAAGTAACTCAATAATTACATTTTTGTTAATAACATCATTAAAATAAAATATTTTCAATAGATCTTTTAACTGAAAGTCTATTTCATTATTTTTCATCAAATAATGAAGAAATAATAGCAATATTTTAACTAGTTTGGTTTTTACGAGTTGATTTCGGTAATGAAAAGTTGATTTCGGTAACTTTACCGAAATCAAGTTGATTTCGGTATCGTAACGTACCCACAACTTACAATTAGTTGGGCTACTGTACAAATGTCTTGTTTGATTGTTTGCACAGGACATCTACTCACAGTTTGGTTAGTGCTAGTTACAGTTAAATTTTGGAAAATTTGGTATGAAGTATATTGGTCAATTTATTCATGTATTAAAGGAACACACAGGAACTACCTTATGATGAAACAATGTACAACTTTATATGTAACTTTTGTATACAACTGTACTGGCATGAGAGCAGTTCCCATACAAAAATCATAGTTACTTAGACATTATTTTCTATTATGCTGACGCTCACTCACCAAAAACTTGCTGTTACACATCATTCAATATTCGGATGGTCACACAAATTATTGAAATCACATTATGTTATAAACATAGAACAACCCTTAGTAAAATATTAGGCCTTATATGGGGTACCAAAATTATCCATTATTTTGTATGAAGAGAAGTAGTTCCTGTTCAAAAAATATAACCTACTATAATTATAATAATTAAACAATATTGATGTATCAGACCTATTTTTCATTCAAAATTGTTTAAGAGACCATTTCCAAGAGGTAAATAGATGTCATTTAGTACATAGAGCGTAGACCAAAATCTAGTTCCTGGTACTATTACCCCAACACCTTCACATGCAATAAAATGCTTATGTGCATTATATTTAACTCATTAAGGTCATAAAATTATTTAATATATAGAAATGTAGATCAAAATTCTGAAAATTAAACAGGTTTTCATCGCATTGCCCACTTATCTGTAAACAGGTGCCCTCTAACACCTCATTTGTAAGTATTTTTGCGCATGCACACAAGGACGGAATCCCCCAATGTTTACAAGGTCACGTTTTGTCAACACACATGTGAAGTGATCTAAAATTAAAACTTTTTGTACGTACTGCTGAACTGACACTTAGATTTTGTCTTGGTCACACATGACTCATAGAAAATTCTATAAATTATTTAATATCCGTCAGCATGCATTGTTGTTGACGTTCAAGTCATGAAAAGAGTGGGGCAGTCTTAATATTTTAGGCAGATGTAGTTATTATCAATTACATTATTTCTATCAATTATTGGTCAATGTCAATTATAATAGTCAGTCTTTTTAAATATACATGTATATATGCAATTCAGCTCTACTTGACATTGAAAAAATGAGCATAATGTCACGTAAGGTTTTCTAATGCTATTTAAGATAAAATATTTATGATGAAGTTTTATGAATGGGTGTCTTTCATATTTGAAAGTTTATTTTTGATTACCCAAACAAATTTTCATTAGGGTATATATTTCCCTGTCTTGCTTCATATACTTTTTTTTCTTTCTTTAGGAATTTGATATGAAGGAAGATGCTAAAAGTAAAACGTAAGTATTTAATTTAAATTTTTTAAAGCTGCAAGCCAAAATATTTCAAGAAAATCAAACTTGAGAAAGTTGTTCAGAGATTTGAATAAAAGTAAAAAAATTCAGGATAAAGTTATAATTTCCATGGTATGTGCGATTAATGACAGATTTCAATTCGATTTTGCAGTTTTCTATTCCACCATATTTCTTCAGTGTTACTTACATACTAGTAAGGGGTATTTTTGCATATTTGGACATCTTTTTGGTTATTTACATGAGCTGAATGTGATGTTTGTGTAAATTATTTTCTTTCTTCAGTTTAATAATAATATTTATGATATATTACTTTGAAATACATTTTCAAAATTGTCATGAAAGTAAGCAATTGTACCTGGAGGTCTGCTGCTTTGAAATTACAATCAAATGATATGCATATATATGACATGCTTAAGAACAATTATTTATTCACTGTGAGTTGTGCCCACTTAATGTTTGACATAACTTCTCTTTCATAACATGATATATGTAGGAAATTCATTGTACATTTTAACCTAGAAGTTATGTTATTATCATTGTATCATTTTTGTATGTTTGACTATTTATTATGGTATTTTAGACTATTGGGTTACACTGTACCTTTATGTCTTTTATTCCCCCACAAATGGGGGATATACTGATTTGCCATTGCCTGTGCTTCTGTCACTCTGTCAGTCTGTAGACTGACAAAACAGTGGAATATGGGAGCATGGGAATATGGGAGCAGTCATGTCCTACTGACACATTTCTAGTAAGGCATAGGGGGGCATATTGGAATTTGGAATCCATGACAATTTCATGTTTTCCACCAGTCCTGTCAGAGAAAAAAATTTGAAGAAGCCCATACAAGAGAAAAAAAATACCACTAGTCTGCTAGTAATTACGAGTAGAATTTAAGAGAACTTGAAGCAGGACAAGTAGAAAAATGTTGCCCGCATATTGGATGTAGAATTTACTAGTCCTGCTGGATGACTGACTCTGAAAATAATTGAGCCGCGTCACGACAAAAACCAACGTAAAGCGTTTGCGACCAGCATGGATCCAGACCAGCCTGCTCATCCGCGCTGTCTGATCAGGATCCATGCTGTTCGCTTACAAACCCTATAACAAGTAGAGAAACTGATAGCGAACAGCATGGATCCTGATCAGACTGCGCGGATCTATCACCATTCCTCCGACATTGAAAACTGTTATTGCTTGCATAATTATATTTAGCTTTTTAAAGGCTTTCATATTATATATGCATCTTATACATTCTGACTTTACAGATGGCGTCCGTTAGAAGGACAGCTGACAAAGTTTACCAATGTTATGAAGGGATGGTTACCCCGCTGGTTTATACTTGATCCTGAATCAGGCCTGCTTGAATATTTTGAGGTAAGTACCGTTATGATTGAAAATTTTAACAAATTCATGTACATGTAAAACCGTTAATTACTCATTTTGATGATCACATTTACTTTATACAATGTAATAGTAATTCACTAATTCTAGGCTGTTGACTGAAATACACAATACAGTATCAAAACCATGTACCATAGCAGTACGGTACATCTGGACATGTCATAAAGGATAATATGATACAATATCAAAAAGATGTACATCTGGTTGTGTCACGGAGATTTATGCCACATGAACATGCTCTACACTAAAGGCATGGTTAAAGTTTTGCCAAAGGGACATTGGGCACATCTTTCAAGATACAAATATTGATAGTTTGATACTATGTATTTCTCTAATTTTACTAATCATCCATTTCATTATTTAACCCTTGACATACTGAGTTTAAAAATGAATTTGTCCAGCTTCTGTTTTTTGGAACATTCCAATTATTGATTTTGGGTATTTCAAGATGAAAATTTAATATTTGTCAGTATAAATTATGCATGGAGCATGGCTAGACTGTACAGATGTGCAGGCTGGCCTGGATCTGTTCTGGTTGCATAGCCTAGTCACTTTTGGTTTTTGATGGTTAAGAACTCAGTAAACAAATTACTCTACTGTGTATGTATGATTATTTTATTTGACCATATACTAATTTCTCGTATTGGGTCATTGAATTTAACCTTGCAATCTCCTGTGAACCTTTCACATGTCATTGAGTATTTCAAACTTGATGTTTTTCAGAAAGAGGAACATAAGAAACACAGGGCAAGAGGCTCCATCTACCTGGCTGTATGTATAGTTGATTATATAAAGTCATTTCCTTAAAGCCAAACCCCTCCAGATGGGAGAAATGATTCTTCAAAATTTCAAACTTAAGAGAAATGAATAAAGTTATTTATATTTATTTTCAGATATTTTTTTTAGAAAAGTCATTTCCTTAAAGCCATACCCATAAAACTGATAAAACTTCAGAAAAATAAATACAATGTAAAATTATTCACATTGTAAGAAATGTTTAGATATTTACATTTTGAGTGCTTAAAATGTCAGTCTAGGAAAACTGTCGTCTGTTTAAAATTTCATACTAGGAAAACTATCGTGTGCTTAAAATGTCATACCAGGAAAACTATCGTCTGCTTAAAATGTCATACTAGGAAAACTGTCGTCTGCTTAAAATTTCATACTAGGAAAACTGTCGTCTGTTTAAAATTTCATACTAGGAAAACTATCGTCTGCTCAAAATGTCGTACTAGGAAAACTGTCGTCTGCTCAAAATGTCATACTAGGAACATGTTATTGCTCAAAATGTGATCTGGTAAAAATGTTATTTTGCTTCTATATTTCAGGCAGCAGTTATAGCACCTTCGGAAGAGGATTCTCAAACTTTTGTTGTTAGCGCAACGAATGGGGAAGTCTACAAACTTAGAGGTAGCGGACAGTTTTAAACTTCTAGAGCAGTGTTTTGTAATGTTTCTACTATATTTTGTTTGTTTGTTTTGAGTTTTACGTCACATCAACACAGTATAGGTCATATCGCGACGTTCCAGCTTTACTGGTGGGGGAAGACCTCAGGTGCCCTTTCGTACATTATATCAGGCACTAATGGGCACCTGAGTAGAACCACCGACGTTCCGTAATCTAGCTGGATAGCTTCCTAACATGAAAGAATCCAAAGTCCCAGTCGGGGATTCGAACCCACAGAGGTGAGGGGCAAATGGATGTTTCTACTATATAGTTTGATTAATATGGTACATTACAACCCCCATTTTTCCCTATTGAACACAGAAGGACTGAAAGTGTGTGTTATTATGCAATAAAATCACTGATGAGGTTAAACATTTGAGCTGCGCCATGACAAAACCAACATAGGGTGTTAGTGATCAGCATGGATCCAGACAAGTCTGCGCATCCAAGCAGTCTGATCAGAATCCATGATGTTCACTTTCAGTTTCTGTACTTGTAATATGGTTTGCAAGCGAACAGCATGGATCCTGATCAGACTGCGTTGATGCGCAGGCTGGTCTGGATCCATGCTGGTAGCAAACGCATTGTGTTGGTTTTGTCATGGCACAGATCATTTAGACATGTGACGTAACCATTAGACATGTGACAATGCTGAAAATAAGTACTGAAACAAACCCTGCGCAATCTAGCTTAATATCAGGTATGGCTGCACTTATTTGTTGATGTCGTATTAGAATCAAAATGATATATCAAAATCTGTGATTTTATCGCTTGATATAATCACTGTTTCTTGTGGGATGTGCATCAACATATCACTCAGGCTATGCCCTCTGGATAAAATGCCTCAAATCTGAACTCCAAACTGAGATTTTGTTTAGCGATAAAATAACTGTTTGGGATATATGGATTTTTAAATATCATGAATAACTGCTTGTTTGTTGAACTCTTCTTGTATAATTTAGCTTGAAATCTATGAAAAACCTGGTAAGAAAATAGGGTAACATAATATAATACAATTTATAAACTTGATTTTATTATTGATTTCATGTCAAACCATCCATAATACGCATATATTTATTTGGCTACTTTCCAATTTTTTATGGAGAAAAAAACGAGTACTTTCACAACATGTGAGCTTTGAAACTACAGATAAAATGAAGACAATCAGACCATTTGTGCCCTGATGTAACATAAAAGTAATAATAATAATAATAAATAGTTTGTTACCTATTTTCTTACCAGCTTTGCAATGCTTTTTACTGAAATAGGGCTATGATTAGTACAACTTGAAAGATTTTCAATTGATTTCTTAGTATACATTTTTACTATCTTGTGCATATCTTTTAAGTGTCCAAGCTGATCTAATGAGGAAGTTCAAATTTTACAACATTTTAGACATTTTGACCTCAGTGGAGAGTTCCTTTAAGAATCTGCTTAATTGATAGCATGTTTATTTCTCATTTCTTATTTCTAACAACAGCAAGTGATGCTAAAGAAAGACAACAGTGGGTGGATAGATTGAGAGCTACTTCTGAACACCATGCATCCTATATGGCACAGGTAATTATTTTCAAATCTGTTGACAGATAACTATAAATCTTGCAAAAACCTTTTTTTGTATATGATACCTTATACCTGGTATTTTTGGGGGTTTTAGGGTTTTGCATGGAATTAAATATTATAAGGACTTATAAATTTATTTGTTTTAAACTTGGCAAGTATCTTTAGGACCATAATTTTAGCTAATGTTCCAAGGTCCATAACTATGTTAGGGTTAATTTTTACAGGATTATGGCCCGTTGTAATTTTTCGAAAATTCCGGGTTAAGGTTAAATTTGCAAAATATATCTGCAGAACAACAGAGGTTCTTTTATTTGAAATGTCCCATATGTTCTTAAAGTCATAATTTTAGGCATTAATTAAAGCCATAACTCATCAAGTTTGACTGAATGATACCCCTCTGTGAACTTAGTGAAATCCTGCAATATCCAAGCTATTGTTTTGCTATCAAACCCCTGAAGATAAAGAATTTTTAATGTGATGATATACATGTACATAAACTTTATTCGGTTTCGCAAATGATATGAAAATAGTTAAAATTAGTACTATGTGCAAACTTTTCCTAAATATCAGATAGGATATTTTGTGTTTACACAAGTGCTTTAAAAAAAAAACGGTCTTATACCTCTGTGTAAGACAAGTTGGGTGCCATAAATGACATCATTCCCGAGCGCTGTTTATGAATGAATTGCAAACTTTAGATGGCAATTTTTTGACATAATGAACAAAGTTGTAAATTCTTATGCTCCTATAAGACAAAAGTACCAATCGAAAATATTGATTAATGTAATTTCCTTCCTTAATATGACGTATATGTGATACGCAAGAAAAAGAAAGAAACAATCGCTTTCGTTTCATCAAAGACAGGAATGTCTAACTCTCGGGTAACTGTTAAGTAGAAACTCCACAGAGCCTTGTTAACGCTCATGCTAGATATTCTGGTCTGTACTGGGCAGCTGATGTAAGATTCTTATAATATGTTATGTACACAAATCAAATAAGATTGGTGCTTTTGAATACATAGTCACATTTAGTAAATGTATAATTACAAAAAAAACATACTTTAATTTTTCTATTCAGAACAATTGTTATTAAAAAAGCGGAATTTAGAATTTTTGTTTACTGAAAAAATTTGTGTACATTATTAAAAATTGAATATTGATTTTCAAAGTTGAATATAATCTTTCATGAATATATATATGTGGTGACTTATTCTTATTAAGAGCATTGACTTAGAAAGTATGGTAAGTCAACTATTGTAATAGCTTTATCTATAATTCTCACCAAGGGAGAAAACTTTACTACCGCACTTTATTAGTTTCCACATCTGTTGTCTCCCCTGTCAAAGCATTGCATAATGTTGAGCATCATTCTCTATGCTTTTATTAATGCACACAAAGTGCATATAGGTTATTAATAACTTTTAAATAGAAGAAAAAAGATGTTTCAGAATTATTAATATGAGTTTAGCAGTTTAATGAACTTTAACCTTTTTTTCCTGAAATATTTGACTTAATGACTTCAGTTCGATAAATGATTTGCTTTTTAATCAGGGCTTGATAACAGCTAGTGATTTTGTTTTGTTTTCCCTTTTTCACAAAAGCCAATGCTGTTTCAGTGAGAATATTCAGTCTTGACTTGTGAAAATTTATCAAAAACTTTATAAAACAGTCACCTCTGTTCAGAAGACAACACATGTACTAAGTGTGCTTTTCATTAAAAAAAGAAAGTCTGCAAAAAGAGCTTCTTTTGTGAAATCTTCTTAATATTTGTGAGTTTTTTTTCAAGATGCTATTTGTAGAAATTTTTCAAAAGTTTTGTCAATAGGGCAGAGCAGATCTATATTAAGCCTGTTTTGGATGCCAAAATTAGTCATTGGCTGACAATTTTTGAATGCAGTTGGCAGAACACATTTATATTATTTTTGTAATTGTTTTGTTTTTTATTTTTGGCTTGTTTTATTTTTTCATAGCTTTGAACTTTCATTTTCTCTTTGCATATAGTTGTTGTTTATTATGAAAATTACTTAAGTTGTTAAAGGGACTTTATTGAGATTTTTGAAAATATTTTTTACAATATTTGTGTACAATTAGATGTGCATAAGGTCAAGGTCAATGACTTTTATACAAAATTTTAGGTCGTTCCTTCACTACATTATTCCATAATCATAATTTTTTTTTGCATAAAAATCCTAAATTTTTTAACATTTAAATGCTTTTCGACTAAGAATAGCACTAAAAAAAATCTATTTTTAATTTTACTCTAGCATATTTTTCGTCTAAAGTTACCAAGTTGATCTAAGTAAGAATTTTAAAGCGTTTTAAGGCTTTCAAACCTTAGTGAAGTTCCTTTAAAGTAAATCTCTTTTTAATATTTGCTTTCCATAAAAGTAATCACCATTGAATTGATTTTGATGATTTTTAGAAGCAATGACATATTTTCCTAATTGCCTGACATCAATGAAAAACAAGCTTTTTTGTTTGTTTGCTTTTTATCGCTTGCATCGTAATTTTTCTGACATTGAATGTTGTTGTATGAAATGTTTTTATATACGTTTTGCTATTGTACTTTGTTTAGAAGAAAAGGAAGCAGAAGGTATAGTATTTCAACTTGATGACAAGGCTCAGATTCAAACATGGTATCTTAAATGATAGCCAGTTTCTGGCGTATAAAGTTTGTTATATAAAAAATAAAATTTCCTGGTTTTAAGCTTGACTATTTAAAAAAAGGTGGAGCTATTGTACTCACCACTGCATCAGCCAAAGTGTAGGCTTCAGCCTCTCAGTCACACTTTGGTTAAGTGGTCACACTTTGGTTAAGCGGTCACACTTTGGTTAAGGGGTCACACTTTGGTGAAGTTTTTGCATACAAGTTGGTATCTCTAAAACTTCTGAGGGGAATGGATTGAAACTTTACACAGTTGTTCTCTGTGATTATCTTACATGATGGGCATAGGTCCAATTACTATGAGTTTCCTTTTTTGCAGAGTTATTTCCCCCTTTTCCTTACTGTTAATCACTGAGAATAGTGGAAGCTGAATTTCTTAAATGGACTTGCCTGGAATCTATTTTTAGAACTGTCCATTATTAGTTTTAGGGTTATCAAGATGAAATTGAAATTAGTTCAGCTGACAGTAAAGAACCTTACAAAAGTGCACAGACTGGCCTGGCTCTATACTGTTGACTAAATTAATTACTCTTTGACACCAGCATTGAATGGGTTTTAAAAGGAAGAATACGGTAGCACATAAAAAAGTACCAAAATATGGAGCTTGGCATATTTAAGATGTCATTGTCTGAGCCATGTTGGATAATGTAATATCACTGTAACTATTGGGTTTCTAGATTTCAAAATTAAAATTTCTTTTTTATTTTAATTAACTTATCTTTTTTATTCCTTTAACTTATAAGCCAGGATGTTCTTTGCTGAAATATTAAAGCTGTTTTTGACTTTTTATAGCATTATTGCATAGATTATAGACTAAGTCTTTTATTTTGGGTTGTATTCAATCTAGAAATTCATTTAATTGTGACCTTACATTATGATATATATCTGATATTTTTTATAGCCTGAAAGGCATAAATGGGTAGGTGAAATAATATTTATATGTTATTCATTTTCTTGCTATAATTTGGTGTGCTTTTCTGCCAGCAATTTGGATTTTTTAATTAAAAAAATGGTGGCTAGAGAAATGTGTTATGTTGGTTTTGAGACACAGATATTTTTTGTGTGTACATTACGTGGAATGTGTTAACATGGTTTTGTATATGGGCTTTTATAAGTCTCAGTATATCTCAAGATTAGGACTTTGTCTTTATATAAATGGACCTGAATACCTATGACCTTGACCGCTTAATGACCTTAACTTTCCATGCCAAACTTCCTAAAGTGTCTTGTACTGTACAATGAAAAAATTATCAAACATGATCTTATGATTTACAAAGATTTTTTTATGAAATCATTGTGATGATGTCATATGATTGACTAAGCCTCATTCTGTAACATTTTTTGGTCATGTATGACCAGTTTTGATGTAATAACTTTGAAATAGGGCATACAGTAGTATGAATGTAAAATTTGTGTGTTTTCGTGATTTATTTTTGTGAACACTTGAAGAGGTATTTTCACTTGATTGTAGCTTTGCTTCTACAGAACACTTAGAACAACCAACAAGTGCTTTTTGTTTACATTTGAAGAATTAGGCGTGGCAATATTTTCCATGACAGTTGATCGCGGACAATGAGTTCAATGGTCATTTGTTACTTACTTCTCATCCTCATTCAGAATACACATGGGATAAGTTAAGTCGGTAACTTGCCGAGAAATAGGTAATTATTGGGAAGTTATGCAGTAAAGCTGGTTAGATGGATCAGCGGCAAGATATGACCAAAAATGTGGTAAAATCAGCGTAAAGACCAAAAAAACAAACAAGCAACTTTTAAGAAATGAAGCACACTGAATTATAGACCTGGTTTTGCAGAATGATGTACTGATTCATTAATCCTCTACTTTTTGTAAATATATAAAAACTAGTTTTTGTATTGTGAATGGATAATAGTACTATATATAACCAGTAATTATCCTTGTCTGAAACAAAGAATAAGTCAAGCTATCAAGATGGCTGCTTAATCCTTGTTGTCAACTTCATGCAAAAACTTTAATGTAGCCTTTTATTTAAACATTAAAAGTTATTAACTTGAGACTTGAAATACTTGCTTATCATGACAAGGTGCAGTTGTAAGACAAGGGGCATATTTGTGAAAACTTTATTTTGGAGTAATTCCCCTTTTCATCTTAGAATTTTTGTCAAAATTGGTTGGACTTAACAGATGAGCGTTAACATCACATGGGGTGCTTTTGTTTAACTTGAAATGTAAAGATTGATATGATAATGCCCAAAGTAGTCTTAAATAGACTGTCTTTATAATTGTTAACATTTTAACATACGAATCTTGTTAATCTTTGTATGCAACATATTTTTTAACTTTTAACTTACTTATAAGATATTCATTGTGATTTTAAATAATTTGTTCATTTTCTTAATGAAGTTTCATTTTATAGTTAAAATTTTACCATAATTAATTCAATCCTTAAAATTAGCAGCTTTTAATAAAGTGTTTTAACCTAATTTTATTATTCCATTAACTTATTAACTTATGATATTTGTTGACTTTTAATTAAGCTGACAATATTTGAGCAAATATTAACTTGCATTTATATTTGTTAATTTTTTAACTCAAAAGGTTTCTTTAGCTTTGTAACTTTCAATATTTTTTTTTTATAAACTATATTCTTCAAGTTTTTAACTTTCAAATATTTGTTTAAGTTAATATGAGCAGAGTTAAATAAGTGTTCAGATTTTAAATTAGTAAATTTCAGATTTTTTATTATTAAAATTTTCAATAATAGATTTTTTTTTGTTTTTGGCTCTGTGATCCAAAATTGCAAACTACATGTAGTTACTAGTAGTTATGCTTGTTGCTTCACTCAGACTTGTTTACAGATCTGCTATCTTATAGACTGGTTAATTAATCTGCTATTTTGTAGACTGGTTTATCAATTTGCTATTTTGTAGACTGGTTTGCTCATATAAATTCTAATTAGGAATGTGATCTGTTGCATGCTTGACTAGTTATTCTTCAGTTTTGCCTAAACTTAACATGAATACTTTCATTTATTTATTTATTTTTTATGAATGAAAAAAAAAATTGGTGATAATTCATGTTTAGTTGATAGTAAGTATTTTGTGGTTGCAGTTCAATGTGTTTTTATTTCAATCATATACATATATTTAGATCATAGAAGATTGTAAAGTTCAAAGTGTTGTACAAAAAATAGAATTAGAATAGATAAGCAGTAAATTAAAGCTAATTTTCAGTTTTTCCTAAACAAAAGTGCCAAGGAAAGTTCGCCATTTTGCTGCCATTTCGAAGAGTTGATAACCTTTGACATTTTTATTCTATTTTTAGAACATGCCTCCTGGGCATCGTGAGGTTAGGTCCGCATCAACTACCAGCACACAGAGTCCTAGTGGGGCCTCAGCCGCATCTCATTCACAGAGGACAAAGAAAGTCAGCCACGGTTCAAATGAAAATATTCCTCAAACAAATGCAAGGTAGGTAAAAGGAAACTATAGAAAATTGAAAACATCAGGAGTGGCAATGGGAAATGTTGGGTTTATAATCGTCCTTCAACCCCTAACCTGCTAAATTTATGTGATGAATTTGCCCTCCTATGAATTTTGAACAGTCCATTCAAAGATATATTTAAAGATATATTATGCTCAAATTTGATATTTGAAAAAATAACAACTAATAATTACCATACAGTCTCTTTTGAATACAAACAGAGAAGATATGTTATGTTTTAAACAGGTAATCATAGTATGATTACAAAATGTCATTAAAAGAACAGGCAGTTTTTATAAGAATAGAAATAATTTGACAAGTAATAAGGAATGCAGCCTCCCAACATAGTTTATACATTCCCATATTCAAATTAATAGACATATTAAAGGGATTTCAATATCAAAATACAAAAAATTTAGCTACCAACAGTTATTATGTTCCCTGGTAAAACAGCAAGGATGTGCAGGCTGGCTTTACTCTATACTGGTGGCAAAAGCTTTTCACTTTTTGTTCTGACAAAGGTTTAATGTTAACATGCATCAGCATTCATTAGTAATATATACAATGCATTTAAAAATCTGTTCTTTAAAATCAAATTTGTTGAATAAGCAGTTTGGAAGTTTTTACTGAAAACTTGATATTTGAATACTGTGATCAACATGTTATATATAGAAAAAAAAATATTATTGTTCAAAATTTGATGAATGGGCAATTTTGAAGTTTTTGATTAAAGCTTGAAGTATCTGTCATATACTGTAGAGAATAGACATACTCTGGAATCAAGAATATTTTGGGTTTTTTCCCAGCTAATCTTGGGGTACAAATAAACTTCTACAGTTACAGCTTGGAAAATAAGCGCAACATATTACTTATTTATTGTTACCAGTAGTGCACCTTGAAGCTTTAACGGGTTTTTTTAATTTTTTATTAAAACATTATCTGTAGCAATTTACATTAACTTTTTATACATACGCATGTAATTCTGAATATTAACCTTACATTGATATTAAAAAACCCATTGCTCTTATTTCATTATGTTGAATGTAAGGCCTATGGAACTTCGGTTCTCAAGTTTTCACACTACTTGTTATGACACTAACCGCAACAACCCTCTTACTTTTGCATAACGTGTATTTTATCTAGGTCAATGTCGGTAACAAAGGCTCCTATGGCACACCCACACACCATAGATCCATTCAAGGAAGTAAAAGAATACATGATGGAGGCTGAGGACTACTCAACTGGTCTTACGGAAAAAATCAGTGTATGTATCTTAAAAAAATGATTTCATGAATCAAATCTAAACAACATTTTTACCTTTGTAAAAAGGGCAACTTCAGAAATAAAGTTGAATTGGTCTTTGTTCTGCGGGATGTTATATTAATTTTTTTCAAGTAAATTGTGTTACTATTGTTTAAGGTTGGTTATTGTTTTGAGTCGACTTCTCGAACAGACTTTATTGAAAAGTTTTTCTTTTACTGCACCATGTTGGTTTGATAATTTTTGTAAGCTGAGATTTTATAATATTATATAATAATATGTTGATAATACGAAGAAAGCAGTATAGTACATGTTGTTTGTAACCAGTTTACAAAAGTTAAGAAAGCTATCTCTTTGGCCTTCAAAAGAATGGCATTTGGTCAATTAGTATATCAAGGTAGCTGAATGTACCTCTCCAGTTCATGATACAATCTAATTTATAATACTGCACATTTGTAACTTGAACTATTCATTGTATAATCATGATGTTTTTAAAAACTGACAACTATATACACAGCTGCTGTCAATTTATAAAGTAGTTCAATTTTTGTTTGTTTGCTGTATCATAAATGAGTTATAAAGATTATTGGCAGTTTATGAACTGTTGTTGCTGGAATATAATATCGGGGCCATTATATTATAGTCTGTCAAAAATCTTTATAAATATTATAGTATAGGTTCATAGGTTATCCTATCTCAATATAAGTAAAACCCTAAGTTACATCACAAAATATACAAAATTTCATAAACATTTATTTTACAGGCATTACCTCAGTCAGGACAAGCAATAAACAGTTTAGACACTGTAAGTATATTTGTATTTAAAATAAGTAACTTGGTAATTTCAGCAATATCCTAAAATTATGAGACAACGTTAGATTGTGATGATAAATTGATATCATTACTGAAGATGTAATCACAATGACGGGATGATGGTGATGATGATGATGATGAAATACCTCCGGTTAAAAAAATTGAGACTTTAAATCTTTTGCACCCTCCCTCCATCCTCCTCCTACCTCCCACAGTTGTTTGGGTCCAACAAGGAAGTTTGAATTCTTTCAGATGATGAAGTTATTATGCTAGCTTATTGATGGCAAGTGGTTCATCACAGTTGCCTACTTGTGTCTTAAATAACACAAAGAGGGAAAATCTTTGGCAAGGCAGAATTTCCCCTTAGCAAGTCATCTATTTATCCCCCAGTGGTTATCCAGAAATCATGTCGGTTTTCACTTGCGGAGAATGGCAAATTACTGGTTAGTTTTCTAGGAAAGCCTGTTTGGTGGACTAACTGCAGAGACATAACCAAAAAAAAAGATGAGCAAAAATGGGATAAAAATTGTCATAAAAACCAGACAACAAAGAAACTTAGTTTATTTACTGCTGTCTAAGTTTACAGTTTAATATAAGACTTCCCATGATTGACAAGATGTGATGATTAGTGTCAAAATGAATAGTCACTAATTGGGAGTTAAATATTATCATTATTTGCACCTTAAAATTAAATTTCCAGATATTGGAAGTAAATTTTACTCCCAAAAAAAAATATCTGCCATTCAGACGAAAAAAGTTCCAGAATTCAGAAGTATGAATTACTGAAACAGGAGAAGAAATTTTAGAACCTAGAAAATTATATTTAAATTGGGAAATTTTTTAAGCTTTGGTAGATCTGAATTTTAGAAGGTACGCTGTATAACCCATGCATGGCTCATATTTTCATTAAAATGCTGCTTATATAATTATTATAGTGATATTTCTGGGATGTTTCAGGATATGTTGTTGATAAAAGCCACAACCTCTGCCACCCTCCAGTGTCTCGGTCAATGTCTTACCATGTTACAGCAGAGACAGGTAAAGTCACATTACTCTTGTAACGTTTTATCATTTATAACACTGTTTCTTATGTGCACATTCACTTTTTCACTTCACTGGTTGTAATTAGAAAATAAGCAAAAAAATATCACATTAAGTGGTGTTCGACTTCAATAAAGGTACATAGAGATGTAGGATAACTTTGTCGGCATTATCAGTATGAGTTGTCTTTAAGCAAGAGTTATATCCCTCTACCATCTTACAGCAAGAGTTATATCCCATTAGGAGCATACTGTAGTGGGGTTTGTCTGTATGTATGTATGTAAGTCACCTCTTCCATGTCTGATCTACAACTTGAAAAGAAATAATTATAAGCTATGATTTATATAACTTGCCCATGGCCAGTTGATGGCCCCTATTGATTTTGATGGCTGTAGGTCAAAGGTAAAGGTCACCATTGCATTAACCAGTAAAAGTTTGTCCTACCATAACTAGAATAAAATCCATTACACAAATAGCTGGTTATTAGTCCCTTACCGGTTTACCGGAGGGGACTTTAGGTTTACCCTCCGTCCGTCCGTCCGTCCGTCCGTCCGTCAGTCCGTCCGTCCACAAAACTGGATCCCGCGATAACGAAAAAAGTACTGAAAATATTTTAATGAAACTTGATATATGGATAGATGGCAGCATGGAGATTATGCATGTCTTTTTCTTTTCTTCCTATGTTGAAAATTCTGGTTGCTATGGCAACAAATAGACTGAAAATATGGCAAATTTTACACATAACCTCGATCCCGCGATAACACAAAAAGTACTGAAAATATTTTTATGAAACTTATTATATGGATAGATGGCAGTATGGAGATTATGCACGTCTTTTTCTTTTTTTCCTATGCTGAAAATTCTGGTTGCTATGGCAACAAATAGATCCGAAAATATGGCAAATTTTACACATAACCTGGATCCAGTGATAACGCAAAAAGTACTGAAAATATTTTTATGAAACTTGTCATATGGGTAGATGGCAGTATGGAAATTATGAACATCCTTTTCTTATCTTCCTATGTTGAAAATTCTGGTTGCTATGGCAACAAATAGACTGAAGTTCAAGATTTCTGATTCTAGTTTTAAAGTTTTTTCACTATAAGTTCTTTATTTCTTAAGGTATTTTCTTCAAACTTTAAATATAAGTTGCTAGTCATCAACCACATCATATGTGACAAGGTTTACAACTCTAGGACAAAATTTATCAGAATTACCTCCCTTGAACTTAAAATTTTCATGAAAAAAATATTGTTTTTTTAATAACTTCTTTTTTTCTGAATGTATCTACTTCAAACTTCATATAAATGTTTCTTATTATCACTCAACATTTGTGAGAAAGTTCAATACTCTAGCAAGACTATTTCCAGAATTATGCCCCTTTTGAACTTAGACTTTTTTTTGAGAAATTGGTAATTTTTACTCCAACTTCTTCAATCATGATAGGATTTTCTTCAAACTCCCACATCATAATAATAATTATGACAAGGTTTATAAATCTAGCATCCATATTTCCAGAATAATCTCCTCCTTAAACTTTTAATTTTTCCTATTCCTTCTTTTAACTTTCATTTACTTCAAATTCAAAATAAACATTCATTATTCATACCTTCATTACTAATTGTTCTTTGTTACACTCACATCATGTATGACATCTTGCATCTTTATTTCAAGAGTTATCTCCTTTTTAAAAATTTTGCTTTTAAAAATGTTATATTTTGATAACAGGGATGTTTAAAAAATAACTTTAGAGTGTCCTTCAGTCCGTCTGTCTGTACATAAAAACTGTTTCCTGTGATCACTTTTAAAGAACTTTTTCAACAAATTTACTTAAAATAGAAACATAAGTGAATGGCCAATGGCCCTTCAGAATGTTGCTGGGGTTCTAACCGGTACGGGACTTATGGATTGCTTGCAATACTATGATAATTGCTTGTTCTTTTAAGAAGGAACATTCTGTGTTAAATCCTACCATTTGACAAGTAAATTTAGAGACTTTTAAGTAAGGAGTATTTCTGATATTTTTTATACAGAAATTTATGAAGAAAAAGGTAAGACATCCGAGGGAATGTATCTGTTATTGTCACTGAATGGATTTATGTATTCCTTTATTTGATTTGAAGTTATATTTTATTTGGAAATATATGCATGCATTTTATGTTTAAATGGATTATAAAAAATGAGATCCTATCTTTTTATTTAGTTTGAATTGCTATATTTAACCAGAAAAAAAACCAAACTTTGAAGTGTTAAATATTCAAATATTGAGATACATAATGATAAGATTTTTTTTGCTTAGCTATGCAGCATTGAAAATGCCCAGTTACAGGACACTTGTATTGGGAATGATAAACCCTGTATTGCTTCAATTAACCCAGGTGTAAAATGAACATATATTTCTTTGTGTCATATGACAATCTCAACCTTAAAGTTCTCAATCATTGATGTTCTGATCAGGGGAAATAACTACAGACACCACCACAGTGTAAAAAAGATGCTTCAGGGGAATATATGTACTGAGATTTTGTCATTGATAGAATTTCTTGCTCCTGTAGCTTTCCAAGGGCAAGGAAAAAGTAAAAGAAACTGAACAAGATACAAAAATTTGGGTTTGTTCATGGCGTTAGTTCATTGCACAAATTCAGTAAGGTTTAACAGATTTGCTTCCTTCCTCCCCCTCTGGACTGGGGAATACTCTGTCCCTTTCTCCACCCAATCAGTTATGGCTTTGGATTGTTAAACATATCTTTCAAGACCCGCTCAGATTTATTGTTGAATATCTTATTGCTAAGTGTATAGCAATATGAATATTTTATTGCTAAATGTATGGCAATATGAATATTGTTTTGCTAAGTGTATAGCAGTATGAATATTTTATTGCTAAGTGTATAGCAATATGAATATTTTATTGCTAAGTGTATAGCAATATGAATATTTTCTTGCTAAATGTGTAGCAATATGAATATTTATTGCTAAGTGTGTAGTAATATGAATATTTTATTGCTAACTGTATAGCAATATGAATATTTTATTGCTAAATGTATGGCAATAAGAATATTGTTTTGCTAAGTGTATAGCAGTATGAATATTTTATTGCTAAGTGTGTAGTAATATGAATATTATATTGCTAAGTGTATAGCAGTACGAATATTCTATTGCTAAGTCACAATATAGCAATTCTGCATGTTTAACTTCCTTTGTCATTATAATGAAGCAAACTATTATTTTCAATAATGCTTTTTGTATATTTACTTAACATTAGTCAGTGTTGTTGTACAATGATAGATAGTTCATACACACAATTATTTATCTTTCCCTTTAAAATTTTCAATTTCTCAATGTGGAGATGGTTACTGTAGGGAATATTACATTAGTGTGCTATTCTGTATTGCTTTAGTTGATAGGGTATACTGCCAGAAGTGTGCTATTCTAGGTAATAATTCTGGTTGTATTACCTTAGTTGATTGCAGCTTATAGTTGTACTCCCAAAAAATTGCAGTGCTAGCAGGTATACAATTTACTTTAATCAATGAGGTAACACAAATAGGCCTTTCAAGTGTTTACAGTTTTTTGCAAATTGACTGACTGGCTATATCCATTAGAGAGTTACACCGGAATTAAGAATATTTTGGGTTTTTCCCTAGCTAATTGTCCAGTTGGGTGGGGGGAGGGGTACAAACAAACTTCAAACTTTTACAGTTACAGCTTTGACAATTAAATCGCAACAGATTGAGTTCCGGATAACATCTATTGCAACACCTGGATAATACATAGTCACTGGTTAACCTGGTAATACTGTTTGTGAGCGATTGGCCGAACAAAAAATTTGAAAGGTCAATTCATCAGAGTAGTGCACCCATGTAATTGACTATTTACCATCTGTAAAATGTGTAAAGAAAATTTGATGAAAAGGGAGAAAGCATGTATACTTATGATATACTTATGGCTATTAAAGCAACAGATTATTGATTTGTTGTTATGAAAAGTGTATTAATAAGATGCCGATACACATCCATGATTTGATAACTCATGTGATACAAATGAAAAACAAAATACAAGGTGTATGTATTTTTTCTATTGATGGAAAAATATCAAAATTATCAATGGGAAAACTAAAGTTCTAGGTTTATAATGAAAACTATCACTATTCAATATAAATTGAAAAGTATAATGTATATAAAAGGTGGAATTTGTACACAATGAAATGGACATAAGCAAAGTTTGTTTCTCAATTTGTGATTGTCTATATTAATTTTGTTGTATTTTACTGGACAAATTGCACAGTGAAATGAAATTTGCGATGACATCTGTTATAGGTGTTTGAGTGACTAAATAAGTTTAATATGGAATATGTGTTACATGTCATCAAAAAAGCATTAAAGACAAAATTCACTTTTTCAGTTTATATGTTTAACCACTATTTCTTTGGTTAAAAGATAGACATAAAATGTCTATTGTTAACAGTAAAAGTTACAGGGTATATTTTTTTCAACAGTATTATAAGTTTTTTGTATTTTGAGTTTTTTCAGCGTGTCGAATATTAGTAATTGAATAGTACAGTTCTAAATAGAACATATATGAGTCGTGTCATGACAAAACAAACATAGTGCGTTTGCGACCAGCATGGATCCAGACCAGCCTGCGCATCTGTGCAGTCTGATCAGGATCCATGCTGTTCGCTTACAAACCCTTTAACAAGTAGAGAAACTGATAGCGAACAGCATGGATCGATTGGATCCTGATCAGACTGAGCGGATGCGCAGGCTGGTCTGGATCCATGCTGGTCGCAAACACACTATGTTGGTTTTGTCGTGATGCGGCTCATATGTTGAATAAATCATTTAAATAATTAGGAAAAGAAAATATTCTCAGAAAATCTTTATCTTAGTATTAACCCAAAAATTATATTTGTACCCATCATTATATTCTTACACAGTTTTCAACAGAATGATATAGTTTTGCTATGCCTTTGTAAAAATAAAGATCACAGTGCTCGATTAATAAATACTGCTTGGTTGAAATTAGTAAATTTTGGATTTTGAATGAGTGTAAGTTCAATACTGAATGTATTGAATATCAGAATATGTTGAATAATATTTTATTGTGCGAGCCTCTTGCAAGCATAATTTTTTTTTTCAACAAGTTTTGATAAATTCAGTAATGGACCTACACGAATATAATATTCTATTTATCACATACCCAAAATAAAGACTGTTTAAAATGAAAAAGAATTAGTTTTTAGCTCGACTTTTCTATGAAAAGGGGAGCTATCCTACTCGCCCCGGCGTCGGCGTCGGCGTCACACCTTGGTTAAGTTTTTCGTACCACCCCACTTTATTTCAGAAGTATTACAAGTATGGCTTTGAAACTTACCATACTTGTTCACCATCATAACCTCCATCTACAGACAAGAGTACATAACTCTGTCAAGGTTTTTTGACAGAATTATGGCCCTTTTTTGACTTAGAAAGTGTATTGAGCTTGGTTAAGTTTTTTGTACCACCTCACTTTATTTCAAAACCATTGGAGGTATTGCTTTGAAACTGACCATACTTGTTTACCATCACGACCTTCATCAACAGACAAGAGGACATAACTCTGTCAAGGTTTTTGACAGAATTATGCCCCTTTTTGACTTAGAAAAATACATTGAATATGGGTAAAATCCACTTATTGCCTTAACCCTTTGAGATATTGCTTTGAAACTTTTAATGCTATTTCACATCATTACCCCCATCTGTACGCAAGAGAAGGTAACTCTGTCAAGGATTTGTTTTAAAAATTAAGGCCTTTTATCGACTTAGAATCTTGGTTAAGTTTTTAGTACCAGTCCACTTTTTGACTGAACTGTTTGAGATATTAATTTGAAAGTTGGAATACTTGTTTACAATCATGATTCCCAAACATGTCCAGGAGAAGGTAATTCTGTCAAAGATTTTATTTGAATTATGGCCCTTAACTGTCAATGTTTTGACTTAAACATTTCAAACTTTGCTGCAGTGTTCAAGGGTATCACACAATTCAGTAAAATAATTCTTCACTAAATATCTTAATGCTCATGGCCATTGTTCACTTTAAAAATACAGAGATTCTTGTATTGCCTTTTACTGCAAAACTTTTTTTATTGGCAAGCAATAAAAAAGTCGAGCGCGCTGTCTTACGGACAGCTCTTGTTCATTGATGCACTTATAGTATAACACTAATATCTAGTGCTTCTTTACTCTATGTTTGTATAACGCAAATGAAATCACATCAAAATATATGCACAGCCATGCAATACCATTTTTTCGGAGTCGCTAAAGCGGCACGGGTATGTGATAAAAATCACTATAAAAAAAACGCTTTTTCTTAACTTAAAGTCTTTTTTTCCGTCTATTTTCACGATATCATAGTTTACACTTTGTGATATTGTTATGTGATAAGTATTATAGTATTTATAGGGTAAAAGAGGATTTTTAACCAGGTTTTCCCGAAGGAAAAAACTGGTTATTAGATTGAGGTTATGTCGGCGGGCGGGCGGACGGGCGGGGCGGGCGGACGGGCGGGCGGGCGGGCGTAAAACAATTTCTTCTGTGCGCAACTCCTCCTACATTTCTCAACGGATTTTGACCAAACTTTCACAGAAGCTTTGTCATCAAGTGCCCTGGCGCATATTGTCGGGGTTTTGCGATTAGATAATATTTGACCTAATTATGGCCCTTTGTTTTTTTCCCTTATATAAAATATATAGTGAACAATTTCTTTCTGTGCGCAACTCCTCCTACATTTCTCAACGGATTTTGACCAAACTTTCTCAGAAGCTTTGTCATCAAGTGCCCTGACACATATTGCCAGGGTTTTGCAATTGGTATATATTTGACCTAATTATGGCCCTTTGTTTTTTTTCCTTATATAGAATATATAGTGAACAATTTCTTCTGTGCTCAACTCCTCCTACATTTCTCAACGGATTTTGACCAAACTTTCTTAGAAGCTTTGTTTTCAAGTGCCTGGCACATATTGTTGGGGTTTTGTGATTGGATAATATTTGACCGAATTATGGCCCTTTGTATATTTTTTTCCTTATACAGAATATATAGAGAACAATTTCTTCTGTGCTCAACTCCTCCTACATTTCTCAACGGATTTTTGACCAAACTCTCTTAGATCTTTGTTTTCAAGTGCCTGGCACATATTGTCGGGGTTTTGTGATTGGATAATATTTTGACCGAATTATGGCCCTTTGTATATTTTTTCCTTATACAGAATATATAGTGAACAATTTCTACCAGTGCGCAACTTCTCCTACATTTCTCAATGGATTTTGACCAAAACTTTCACAGAAGCTTTGTCATCAAGTGCCCTGGCGCTCACTAAATTCCCATGTTTCTTCCAAGACATCATTCAAGTATTTTTTTTAAAATTGTGAACATACTTTTCTTGATATCGCACAAAACACCACACGCCAATATTGTTGACAAAAGAAAATGACAAGAGACACCAAAAATGCAAAAATTAAGCAAAAATAAAGTACTGTTTACCTTTCTAAAACATTTGGGGGAAAAGGCGAATAGACAAACATAAAATTTCTCAATCATTTTTGTTTGAGGAATATTAAAAAAGCCATAATTCCTCCTAAAAGTTCAATTAAAAACAAATGACCCTTCATTTCAAAGCTTCTGTGAAATATTTTGCTGAAAACCTGGTTGCATCGCATTGCGATGTTCCTTGTTTTTATATATGAGAATGATACTAGAATAGTTGTGTTTGTTTTTTTCCTCTCTCATTTAAGAATGTTTTTTACAAAATGTTTTTTCCTATTGTTTGCTTTGTAGGAGGCTTACGGTGTATTACCATCTGTCCCTTCAATTGCTAGTGCCTCTGTAGACATGTAAGTGTTGTTTCTTGTATTTTGTGTTGTGGTTATATATAGTTGATAAACCAACATGAAAGTTTTAAAGCTTTTTACTGAATATATCAGATAATGTTTGAAGCTGTTATAAAAAAAACGCAGTGTTTATTAAAGACACTCCTTTGAGGTTTTTTTTTTTTACATAACAGGATTAGAATTATTATTTTCTCTAGATTATAAGTATACCATTAGATCAATAACTTGTGTGCAAATTTCAGATTATTTCCTCACTGCTTTTTTTCCAATTAAATCATTTTTATTATAAAATGCAAAATGTCATAAAAAAAAGAAAAGTATTTAAACTCTTTTGACTTAAATTGGGCAAAGAATCACCTTATTCTTTATGATGTTTTGCATATTTTTTTTAGTGAAAGTGCCCCATTTGATCTTTGTAAGAATTAAACAAATTTGAGCCCCTCATGACGAAACCAACATAGTGTGTTTGCCACCAGCATGGATCCAGACCAGCCTGCACATCCGCACAGTCTGATCAGGTTTTATGCTTTCGCTTCCCAAACCCATTACAAGGAGAGAAACTTTAATTTGCAAAAAAGCATTTGGGAACCCGATCAAAGGTTTGCAAACCCCCCTTGTTGGTTTTTTTAAAAAATTAAACAAAAGTTTTCTTTTGGGACAGCCCGTGTTTTATAACTCTATTAAAATATTTTACTTTAGAAAAATTTCCGAGATTTTTCCCCCAGTGTTAAATGAATATATTTTTCATGAACATGGATGTTTCATTTCTTGGAAAAACCAAAGTATGGTAAAATTTTACCTTTAAAAAAAACCCGAATATTTAAAGTTTTTTATTTAAAAAACCCTGGTTTTCATGAAGTTTCTACGGAAAAGAACATGAGGGGTTTTTTTAGTGATTTCTTTGAAAAAAAAAAGAAAAAAAACACTTATTACATTAAAAAATTTAAAAATTTAAATATTTTTCTAAATTAAAATTTCAAGGCACTATGTATTGTTAACTTTTATATTACATTACAAGTAACTTCAATTATATTTTATTTATATTTATCTGTACACAGTCATGCTTTTTCACTGCTGATATGATGACCTTTAATTTAACATGTAGCACCTCAGATGCTAGACATGCTTTATAGTGTTTTACATAACAGAAAATTTTATATTCTGTGCTTTTCATATGATTTGCATGAATTCTCTATATTTCACATAAAAAAATTTATAAAAAAAAAACCTGTAAAGAATAAAAAAATGCAATACCCATCTTAAAAAAATTTTTTAAGAAAAGTAAAAATTCCCAAAAATTATCTTTTTTGAAAAAACTGTCAAAAAAAATAAAAGATGAGGGGATCAGAGGGTATCTTTACTATTTTTTTCCCCCTTTTCTGGGATTTATGATGAATTTTTGTGAATTAATTTTCAGAAGTTAAGTGTGAAATGAAGTTAAAAGTGTTTAAATGAAATGAAAAATTTACACACAAAAAAATGGTAAAAATGAATACAAAAACATGTGTTTTTACTCTTATATTAAAGTAATTAGCTAAGTGGTAATTAAGAAAATATGTTGATTGCATTTTCTTACAGGAGTCCTCGACTTGACATTAGGACGAGCAGCATCGCTGATTCCATTCCTTCACCTGTAGGTAGTTTCACCTCGGCAGCGGACCTTCCATTTATACTCCCAGAAAGTATACCAGGTAATATATTCAAATCCTGATCGTAATAGACATTTATTGCACAAAATTAAGCCATTGTCTTCATAACTTTGCGAGTAGTTCAGTGTCATACTCTTTCGATATTCACAGGCTGGTACTTAAAGATCCTGTCAAATTTTTTATCGTTTTATATCATAAATATGATGCTCAAATGAAGATTTATCAATATTGTAAGTTCAAAAAAACATTATTTGTAAAGATATTACAGGAAAATATAAGATTAAAGGGAGGTAATTAGAAATTTATTCTCGATAAAGTCTTAGCCAAATTTTTCAATAAGAAATGAATGCATATATTTTTAATAATTACTTATAATGGGTTTAAACATTTACATATTCAACATTATTCTTGGATGTTGGAAATTGTTTTAGAAGAATGATTATATAGACAGTTTGTGTTTACATTTCAGAGGGTCCAATAAATCATTTATGAGGAAACTTGAGGATGAGGAGAATATAAAGACAAGGACCTCGAGGGAATGGAGGAACATAAATCAATCATATTACATCTATTATCTCAGCTCAAGTTAGGCATGGACCTTACAAAGGTAAATTTAGTACAGGCATGGTGCTTTACATAGGTAAATTAAATACTTAATGGACATGTCAACTTAAGTTAGGCATGGACATACAAAGGTAAATTTAGTTAATAAACACAGGTCAGCTAAAGTTAGGCATGGGCCTTACAAAGGTAAATTTATTACATAATTATATATATGTCAGCTAAAGTTAGGCCTTACAAAGGTAAATTAAGTAAATGTACATATATCCAGCTTACAGTAAGGCAAATTTAAACAAGTACATATCTCAGCTGAAGTTAGGCAAATTTAAAGGTAAATTAGTACATGCGAGCCCATTTTAAGGTAAAGGCATGGACCCCCGAACAATAATATTTTACAGCATATTTGCAAGCTTTGCAGAGACGGCTTCTTTACAATGGTATTTATTCGTCCTGAAATAAGACTTCATACTAGGTTTTACTTCTGTAGAGAAATACCTCTCAACAACAACCAAACATTTGTCTCCCAAAAGGGAGTTGTTCTGCAGAGGCTGTACTGTATTTGTTTTCCCCAAGTTTTAGTTTTATTCACTCTAATAGCAAGCCTTATTACTGGTCAATAGGTGGGTACCCCAGAGATCAATAATTACACTTGTCTGCTCATTATTACTAGTAGAAGTTAAGAGAACTCTATGCAGGATGAGTAGAAAAATGTTGCCTGCACATTGGATTTAGAAGCTACCTGTCCTTCAGGATGTGTGACTCTGAAACTATTTTTCGATGCCTGTACCCTCTAAATGTATATTCCGTTATTCCGATCTGAACTGCAACATATGACAGATATTATTCTATCATTCCTACTGTATTTAGTTTAGTATGATGATTATGTTTTCAGGTTGTGCTACCAACATTTATATTAGAGAGACGGTCACTATTAGAGCTGTTTGCAGACTGTATGGCCCATCCTGATGTCTTCTTAAAGTAAGTTGAAATATTCAATGTTCTTGCAAGGTATTTTAGGGGGTTTTATAGCTTTAATTGGGTCTTTTTCCCAAAAAAAATTAAGTAGGTTTTTTGGATACATTTTCCTATTTTAAACTATATGAAACTAAAAAGGATAAGATTTTTGTTATAATTTTCTTTTGAAGGTATAAGGTTAGGGGGGGGCGAGGAATTTCTGGGAAGAAAAGTAAAATAAAGAAAGAAAACTAATGAATCTACATACTAAGATCATGACTGTAGATTGTTAGTTTTAAAGATTTTTGTTTGGAAATAAACCCAGGTCACTAGAATACAGCAAACTTCTTTTTTTGGGGGGGGGGGGGAAGTTAGATTCCTTCATAGTTTGTTTGTTTTGATTGGGTTTTAACCTCACACCGACACAGATGTAGGTCATTTGAGATTCCTTCATAGACTGACAGCAGCAGTGTATATGACACAATTATACAAGGAAAAGTGACTTCACAAACATTCAGTATTATGAAATTAATTATTTTTTGAAAACAATCATTTCCAAATTTGTTTTCTCATACTAGTTTAAGAAAAGTAATGCAGAAATTTCCAATCACGTAAAGTTGTGGAATAATTATGTATTTATTATCATTACCGGTAATAAAGCATCTTCTCAATGTGTTTTTACAGAATAACTAGTTTACCAGACCCTGAAGACCGTATGATGGGAGTGTTAGAATGGTACTTAACATCTTTTCATGCTGGAAGACAGGTAAAAATGAAATGCTTCACTTAAATACTTTGTTGCATTTAGATTTTCTTCTGTCTTATTATTCCTAAAAGAGACCAAAAATAAAAGTATAAAAATCTGAATAATATATAGTGTTATAGATAACTTGATAAAAATATAAAGGAGCTCCACTAAGACCTAATCATATATCATTTGAAAGTCTTGCATACATCTACTAGGGAACTTAAAACAGAAAAATATACCCAAGATTAATAAGAAATATATGTGCGACTATACTTGAAAATCAATTTTTTATGTGATTTTTACCTAATTTGAGTTTAAAATGTTTAAATGCTTTTCTTTTGAGGGTTATTTTGCATATTGATTAAAATGATAATTATGGAAAAACAGATTTTTTTTCATTCTGAACATTGAAAGATAAAGCTAGGTGAAATGCATTAAAAAATAAAAATTTTAATGATGTCCCTAAAACGTTACATAAAATTGCCTTTTTCAGTATTATCTGAATAGTTTTAATAGTATAAAAAAAATGAAATATAACCAAACATAAGAAATTTTATTTTGCTCTCTTGAGAAAATTTCAAAGATTTTTGCTTCTCAGTGAGATATATTTGATATTTTTTTCTGATCATATCTTACAGGGATCAATAGCCAAGAAACCATACAATCCTATCATAGGGGAGACATTTCATTGTTCGTGGAAAATCCCGCCAAAATCTGACCGAGCAGACGGAGACCAGGGAGAACCGGGTCTGCTTACATACACTGCGGAACAAGTCTCACACCACCCACCTGGTAAGAGAGATATTTCCAGATGTGAAATTTTCATTGAAATTCATGAATTGATACTATAAGATATTTTTAACTTAGTATGGTAACAAATATCTCAGTATATAAACAAGTCTTCTTCCTGTTATCGCAAGTAAGGTACAAGTTAAAATTTATAGGCCCCCAAGTAAGGTACAGTGATCGGAAGTAACATGTGCTGTTACTCACAAGACACATACAATTATATAGGCTTACAAGACAGGGTGCAGTGATTTTGTTTATATACTGTGAATATTATAGCCTTGACCCTTACAGATATCTTTTACAAACATAATTTGATTGTTATAATCACATCTTATTTATTGAACGTAAGGAATTTTTCTTTAAATTCTCTTTCTTTTAAAATGTGTTCAATTTTACATGATAAAAAGATCACAAATTAACACAATGAAATTTTTTACATGAAATTTATTACAGTGTTTACTGTTCCAAGAGGAGTTTTATCGAATATGATATGCCTTTTTGAAAATGCGTATTGTGAAGTTTTAGTGGGGTAAGTGGATGCCAAAAATTTCTTTATGTCTATGCATTTTTCGAATCCCAGATGATGCAAGTCACTATTGTTTTGCTTGATCATGAATTCCTTGCTTAAGTCATTCTGTCTGTATCTCTGCTCTGGCCCATGACAGAAGTAACCAGTTCCTTGCCTAAACTGAAGGTAATTGGTACTGGTTAACTGCGTTGACAGTCTGCCCAGGAATGATATGGTGGCTGAACTGCGCTTCTGGTAAATGCATTAATTATGCCCCCATTTTGAAAAAAATGGCGTCTATATTGCTTTGCACTTTGTCGGTCCTGTCGGTCCGTAGACCAAATGGTTTCCGAGTGATAACTAAAGAACCCTTAGGCCTAGGAACTTCAAAACTTGGTATGGTGATTGGTCATGACCAGTAGATGACCCCTATTGATTTGGGGTCAAGGGCGTCAAAGTCAAGGTCACATTGACCTTGAAAGCAAAACCGGTTTCCGATCAATAACTAAAGAACCTTAAGGCCTAGGAACTTCAAACTTTGGTATGGTGATTGGTCGCATGACCAGTAGATGACCCCTATTGATTTTGGAGTCAAGGGGTCAAAGGTCAAGGTTCACATTGACCTTGAAAGCAAAAAACAGTTCCGATCAATAACTAAAGAAACCTTAAGGCCTAGGAACTTCAAACTTGTATGGTGATTGGTCCTCGATGACCAGTAGATGACCCCTATTTGATTTTGGGCTCAAGGGGTCAAAGGTCAAGGTCACATTGACCTTGAAAGCAAAAAACGCCGTTTCCCGATCAATAACTAAAGAACCTTAAGGCCTAGGAAACTTCAAAGCTTGGTATGGTGACTTGGTCATGATCAGTAGATGACCCCTATTGATTTTGGGCGTCAAGGGGTCAAAGCGTCAAGGTCACATTGACCCTTGTAGGTAAAAAACGGTTTCCGATCAATACCTAAAGAACCTTAAGGCCATTAGGAACATTAAACTTGGTATGGTGATTGGTCATGATCAGTAGATGACCCCTATTGATTTTGGGTCAAGGCGTCAAAGGTCAAGGTCACATTTGACCTTGTACGTAAAAACAGTTGGTCCGATCAATTACTAAAGAACCTTAAGGCCCCTAGGAACTTCAAATTGGCGTATGGTGATTGGTCAGGATCAGTAGATGACCCGTATAGATTTTGGGGTCAAGGGGTCAAAGGTCAAGGTCACATTGACCTTTTAATTAAAAACGGGTTTCTGATCAATAACAAAAAGAACCCTTAGCGCCTGAGGAACTTCCAAACTTGTTATGGTGATTGGTTATGACAATCAGATGACCCCCCCTATTGATTTTGGTCGTTTAAGGGGTCAAAGGTCAGGGTCACATTGACCTTGAAGGTAAAAACGGTTTCCGATCAATAAATGAAAGAACCTTAGGCCTAGGACTTAAAACTTGAGATGGGTGATTGGTCATGATCAGTAGATGACCCCTATTGATTTTGGGTCTAAGGGTCAAAGGTCAAGGTCACATTGACCTTGTAGGTAAAAATGCTTTCTGATCAATAACTTAAGAACCCTGTATGCCTAGGAACTTCAAACTTGGTATGGTGATTGGTCATGACCAGCAGATGACCTATTGATTTTGGGGTCAAGGGGTCAAATGTCAAGGTCACATTGACCGTGTAGGTAAAAACGTTTTCCCGATCAATTAACTAAAAACGCTTAGGCCTAGAAAATTCAAACTTTGTGTGATGATTGCGTCATAACCAGCAGATGACCCCTATTGAGTTTTAGGTGAAGGGCCGTCAAAGGTCAAGGTCACATTGACCTTTTAAGTAAAAACGGTTTCTGATCAATAACTCAAGAACGCTTAGGCCTAGGAACTCAAACTTGTATGGTGATTTGTCATGACCAGCAGATTACTCCTATTGATTTTGGGATCCAAGGCGGTCAAAGGTCAAGCGTCACAAGACCTTGCTAAGTAAAAAACGCGTTTCTGATCAATAACTAAAGAACGCTTCGGCCTAGAAACTTCAAACTCTGGCATGGTGATTGGTCATGACCAGCAGATGACCCTATTGATTTGGGCCGTCAAAGGTCAAGGTCACATTGACCTTTTAAGTAAAAACGTTTCTGATCAATAAGCTCAAGAACGCCTTAGGCCTAGGAACTTCAAACTTGGTATGGTGATTTGTCATGACCCAGCAGATTAACTCCTATTGATTTTGGGATCAAGGGGTCAAAGGTTCAAGGTCACAATGACCCCTTGTAAGTAAAAAACGGTTTCTGATCAATAACTAAAGAACGCTTCGCGCTAGAAACTTCAAACTTGGCATGTGATTGGTCATGACCAGCAAATGACCACCTATTGATTTCTGGGTCAAAGGTCAAGGTCACATTGACCTTGTTATGTTAAAACGGTTTCCGATCAATAAATAAGAGAACCCTTAGGCTAAGAAACTTCAAACTTGGCATGGTGATTGGTCATGACCAGCAGATGACCCCTATTGATTTGGTTCAAGGGGTCAAAGGTCAAGGTCACATTGTACCTTGTAGGTAAAAACGGTTTCTGATCAATTTACTAAAAACGCCCTAGGCCTAGGAACTTCAAACTTTGTATGATGATTGGTCGTGACCAGCAGATGACCCCTATTGAGTTTTGGGTCAAGGGGGTCAAAGGTCAAGGTCATATGACCAGTAAGATACTTTATAACCCTATTAATTGTTTGCATCACTGGGTCAGACGTCATGCATAATAAACCTTATCACATGACTGAATTGGTCTGCTGATAGGGGCCATACATGTTTTACAAACATATCTTGTTCATAGTGGCTTTACAGCCTTATCCTTGAGGGTAATCTACAAAAACCCACACCACTACGTCTCAACACTGCCCAAATGGGTATTTATTTTAATGCATTTGTGATGTCACAGTCAAGCAATGATGAAGCATTAAAATCTAAATAATAATATAGATACACTGGCTCAATGGAGCATGTTTGTTGTCACAATCAAGAAAATAGATAGGTTAATTCTAAATATAGATTTTTTACCCTGTTTTATTTCAGTATCTGCATTTTACTTTGAGTGTCCGAAACATAACGTGTGTGTATAAATGCCAGTACACTATAGCATATACAAAGCAAAGTTTATGCGGCATGTCTATAGGAAGTTGCTAAATGCGTAGGAAAGGTGAGCTAGGTTCCTAGTTTTGTACGGGGGGGGGGGTGGGGCGGGGGGATTTTGGATAGGTTTTAGACTGGAGACCAGTCCATAGTAATGAGTGCACATTCATTGCGTCATAATGCGCTTCACTATCACTCTGATTTAATAGATTAGGAGGTCTTCTTCGTGTTGTCTGCCAACCAACCGTTACAGTTTGTCTTCCAAAGTTGAATCTCCTACAGCATTCATTGTTTTGCAGATATGACCTTGCCTCTTATACTCATTACTAATATATGTCTAACTTTAAGAAACCTGAACCACAAAGATCAAATTTTAAAATTTCGAACGAAATGTCTCTATGCACGATGATTTTATTACCTCTAGAAAGGAGGCTTCATTGTAACTATGCGTGAAATTTAGCCTCTATACTTGTAAATATGACCCCCTCAATAGGAACTAATAAACCTTAACACAAAGGTCAATTGTAAAATTTTTGGGAAGAATATCGCCCGATAACTTTCTTATACAACATTCATATTAAGAACAAAAGCATTTGCTGTACTAAATAGAAAATTAAAAATAAAAAAATAGATATTGACATTAATTTAGAACAAAAGCATTGGCTGTACAATTGCTCATTAAGTTTCTAGAACAAAGGCATTAATCTGCTGTACAATTGTCATTAAATTTAAAACAACAAGCCATTTGTGACAATTGACATTGATATTGTAGCAACAAAAGCATTGTGTCACAATTGACATTGATATTTAGACAACCAAGCATTTGCTTTTACAAATTGACCAAATTGATTATTTAGAAAAACAAAAAAAACATTTGCTACACATGACATATATTTAGAACAAACATTTTGTTTACGATAATTGACAGATTGATTTCGTAGAACAGCGGCATTGTGACATATGACATTGATATTGCTAGAACAAAAGCATTTGTGTACATTGACATATTGATATTTTAAGAACAATAAGCACATATTTGCTGTACAATTGACATTGATATTCTAGAACAAAAGGCATTTGTTTTACAAATGACATTGATATTGGATAGAACAAAGGCGGCATTTGTGTACAATTGTCATAGTGATATTTAGAATCAAAGCATTGTGTGTAAAATGACATAAGATATTCGTAGAACAAACAGCATTGGTTACAATTGACATTGAGTATAATAGAACAAAGGCATTTGTGTACAATATGAATCATTGATATTTAGAACAAAAGCCATTTGCTGTAAAACTTGACCATTGATATTTTTAGAACAAAAGCATTTTGTGAAAATTGAGCATTGAATATGATAGAACAAAGCCACTTTGCTGTACAAGTTGACTATTACATATTTAGAACAAAAGCCATTTGTTTACAATTGACATTGATATTTAGAACAAAAGCATTTTCCTACAGTTTACATTTATTTTAGAACAAAGGCACTTGTGTACAATGAATTCCATCTTATCACAGCTTACTGCTTTTCGATGATTGACAGCAGGATTAATGGCTTTAACTATGAATTGCCACTTTACGTTCTTTCCAGTCCCCGTCCAAAATCTTACTTGATTGAGAGAATATGTGTTCAGTTTACCCAGTGCTTATGCTAGATCTATACTGACCACACCCTGGGTGGAGCTAGGAGATAAAATACAGATGACATGTCAAAAAACTAATATGAATGCTTCAGTTGTCTTTCATACAAAGGTAAGGTAGAATAAAAATTTACCTAAGTGTATAATAGTTTTACATCAAAGCAAGAGTCGCTGAGGCTAAAAAATATTTTTCTACATATTCCTCAATGCCATGCAATATCTTGGCATCAAGCAAACAAATTTTAAGTTGGTAGTAGCCTATATGTTTAAATGTGGCACAGCAAGCATACGCATCATGTAGCTATAGTTATAAAACCCTTTTAGCCTAAAATGTGGTAAAACTTAACTAGTATCCTTACTGTAACTGCTGGGTTAGCATTGATGGTTTCTAAATCCATTAATGAAAAAATTAATGTTATTCACAAAGTTGAAGTTGGGGGGGGGGGGGATAAGGTGGCATTGTTTGTGCACTCTTTTAAGCAATTAATATTTATTTTATTAAAATGGAAAGTGTTCCAATTTAAGTAAGAGCAAGTCCATTTTTCACAAATAAGCTTGCATAAAAGATTATTGATTTGATACGTTTCAGCCGTTCTATGGTGGTAAACTACACAGGGTTACGGCGGAGGTGAAGAACGGGAACACAGGCAGTATATGCTGTAAAGTGCAGGGAGAATGGAACTCCAGTTTTGAATTTACCTATGCAAATGTAAGTAGCACATGTACGGCAAGCAAGTAAAAAATCTTGTGGATGAAAATTATTAACCAATTTTAGAAATCAAATTTATTCTTGTCAAAAGATTTGTTTGGTGTATACTTAAAATCTGTCTAACTTATTTAATGCTAGCTTAAATAGTGCATGGATGAGGCATTCCTTTGCTGATAAAGCTGGAATATTGCCATATGACTTATAGTGTCAATGTGGCTCAAAAACCCAGAAAAACAAGCAAACAAACAAACTTTCATATCAGGCTTATTCTGCCTGTTTGGCAATATAAATCATTTGAAATTGCCAGTGTTTAGTATTACCATTTAAATTAGTCTTCAGGATTAATATTAAAATGAACAATGTACATGACATAATTATATTGACAATAAATATATTTATGTAACATTTAAATGGTGTGAACATGTGTACAGATATGTGTTACTTTAAGGTTAATTTGTACAAATTATATAAGAACTATTTTGAAAATAAAAATACTAAAATTTCCTATGGAGATGTATTGTATAAAAAAAAAGAGCTGAAATGTACAGAATTTTTTTTGTGGGATAAGTTTTTTTATCCTTTAAGATTTGTATAGACAGTTTATAAAGTTTACAGAAATAGGTCAATGTGGGCATTTTAAATTATTAATTTCTCATCACATTAATTAATACAGAAAACTTAATGTTCTGTTTCCAGGGAGAGACTAAAGTGATAAACGTATTAGATAATCCTATTTGGAGAAAGCGGGTTCGACCTCTGGAAAAACAAGGAGACTTTGAATCAAGGAAGCTATGGCAACATGTGACAAATGCTCTCAGAGTGGGTGACATCAACACTGCAACTGAACATAAAAAATTTGTAAGAGAAAATCATTTCATTTCATCTTTTAATTTTGATTCTAAGAGTTTGCATTACAAAAACTTTAAGGGACTCCACTGCGGTATTTTGACATGACAGGACTGGAAATATCTTCCTGAGATTTGTGTACCATTTGATGTGGGTCTGACCCAATGACTTGTATGCAACTTTTTTTAGATCATTCCCTTACCTTATTTTTCCAGAATAATCATTTTCATTGCGCAAAAATGAAAAGCTTTGCAACACTTTTCTCAAATATGCTTAAAAGATATATATGTGTAAGCTGATACCATTACCTGATATCAAGGCCACCAACACAAAAAAAAATCCTCAGTCAAAGTGTAAATGCAATGATAAGAACTTAAACAAACGTCAGTGAGTAGAAATGTTAAAATGATAACAAAATGGAGATTAAAAGTTGTGCATAAAATCATCGCTATTTTTATAGTAAAGGCTACTTTTTCATCATACATGTTGAGAATTGAAGTGTCAAGGCATCTGAATGACACAGATTTTATTAAAATTGCAGTTGGAGGAACGACAAAGAGAGGGGGAACGGCACAGAAAGGACACAAATACTCAATTTCCTACCAAGGTGTGTATAGTGTACCTGTATTCATTTTTTTAGAGTTCTAGATTTTTCTATTACATAACCCTTATTTTTGCAACTTCAAATTACTCAACCTTTATCACTGTTGGTTCAAATCCGGTCATGGAATTTAGGTTCTTTTACGTGAGGAAGCTATCCAGCTAGTTTGTGGAAGGTTGGTTGTTCTACTCAGGTGACCATTCATGCCTGGAATAACATACAAAGGGGCACCTGAGGTCTTCCTCCACCAGTAAAGCTGAAAGTCACCATATGACCTACACTATGTGGGTGTGAATAAAAATTCAGCAAAGAAACAAACTTTCCTTATATAACCAATACACTGTTACATTGTCACCTTAGTGTAATAATCGGTTAATTCCTATGAAATTTCGAAGGACTTGACCCGTTACTGCACGAAGGTAATGACATGTATATTACAAGAGTACAGGATTATGTTATTGAGTTCAGGTAGCGAGACTTATGTTACTGTGACCTTTGTAGAATGCCCAGATTTGGTTGTATATTAAGCTGAATATCTTCTTGCACATCAGACTTGGCTTTTTGTAGTGTTTGTACAGGTGCTGCCAAATGTTATCTTACACCATTCTGTGTTGGGATGAGGGACATGCTTTGACATCGTTCTGCCACCATTGTGAATGAGTCTTATGCTTTGGATTACTTACTGTAGAAGTGCTTAATTTTGCGACTTGGTAATATTTGCGAATTTTGGCGAATTGAAATTTATTCACAAAATGGAGAATTGAAATTATTCGCAAATATTTGATCATGCAAAAATTATTTCTTTTTAGGCAAATTTTCTTCTATCCTTTGAAAACACCTTTCATACAGCATCTGAATAAGTTTGACTGTTCAGTACTGAGATTAATTTTTCTCATCGCTTGTTTGTTTAAGTTTGGTCTTAACAAATCACAAATGTTTTTATGAAACAATATATCGTTACCTTAGTGCAATAACGTTATAAGTGCTTCTAAATTTAATAGCAGTTAATAAGTTATTGCATTGAGGTGACGATATGTGTTAACAATTTACATACACATACATACCTTCCTTTAGTACTCCATATTTATTTTAACTTTAAGCATTGTACAAGTTCCTAAAAACCATTTTTTCATATTTCCATTTCAGTATTTTCAAAAGATTGGCGAAACTTGGATGTACAGAGATATGCTTCAGAAGAAACAGAAAACATAGTAGCGAAATTACAGTGAAATTATTGATAGTACTTGTTTAATATTCTTAATATACACATGTACATAACATTACAATCAAGTGCATTGTGGGAAGTCTTTCTGAAAGTCATTAAATGTCAGGAATTTGGTAACTGTAAACTATTTCTGTAAGAGTCACATTTTTTGTTATGACTGACTTTATGTGACTTGTTTGCAGGTGAAATTTCTACCTTTTGTAAGTGGTATAAAAATGTAATCGTAAAATGAACAAAAAAAAGAGAGTAAAAGTTGGTCCCTTAAAACTCTAAAATATATTTTGAATTTAAATCTAATGACTCATTTGTCTCTGAACACTGTTTCAGAAATCATGTTGGATTAGTAGTCACTTGCAGATAAATTGCTAATGATTGGTAAGTTATCCAGGAAGCCCATTAGGTGGATTGACAGCCGAGAAATTACCAAAAAATATGTTAAAATTTAATTTAAGGTAATCACAACAAACAAATAAATAAAACAAAATTACAGAAGGTTTATATTATAATAGTAGCATAATTGTCAATTTTTCTTTAGCCTGAAATTTATTGCATTGCGGCTGAGGGACCTATTTTTTCAGATGTTTAGTTGAATAACTGATTTAAACTCGGGCCACAGTGGTCAGTGCTAATTGTCTGCTTTCCTTAAGTCCTGACTTTTTATTGATATTGATGAACTGGTTTTACCCAGTTCCTATAGTTTTGTTAAAGTGATTGTATATTATTATATGATAAACCAGGTGAAGAGCGAAAGCCCATAAGCATAAGGAAAAATAACAAAACAATGTTGATTTATGGAAAAATAACCCAAAACCTTTCAGTTGATTTATAGAAAAATGATGAAATTGTAAGTTGACCAAAAGACTTAATATGATTTATCCACCTATTTAAGCCATTTTACTATTAGTCAGCAAAGGGGCTTTTGGTTGAGGGGCTTTCTGTCCAAATACTTATGTAAACACTATATTTTATGTTGTTGCAAATGGGTACTATGCAAAATATTATTGTGTAATATTGTAAATTGTCACTGTTTATGGGATACACACATATATACACAAAGAGCTTTACTTTTATTAAATACTGCTTGAATAGCCAATTGTGTTCAGATTAGTGTAGAAAAATGATTAGAAAAATAGTATATTCATAATATCAATGTTTAACACCTAAACATGCTGGAGCCAAAAGATATTTGCCCTTGCCAGGCACATCTGCACATCCTGATGACTTAAATATGATATTGAAATTCCTTTAACTTCTAATGGACTGTTCCAGAGTCAAAGCAGGTTAAATCCATTATAGAAATTCAGCGGGTTAAAGCAGCACACCTTGAGATTCATGCTATTGTTCATGACATTTTAGAAAATGTATAAATAGCCTCTGTCTATTAGTGGGGATATCTATACAACATTATTGGTTGTTTTGTTTTATCTTAGTTAAGCTTAAAAATTAAAAAATGGCCGTCATCTTGCTTCTATGCATGTGTTTTTTGGATTTAAAGGAAGATGTTTAGTGATTATTTTAACTTTGTAGAAGAATGATAGTTTTCTATTAGTTTTCCATTAATATAGCCGATTGAAAATGAAGGCATTTTAACTTTAATGATTATAATGTAATTACTTTTTCTTGATAAATCAGAGAATGACAAAATTTTGCAACAGTAATTACGAACTTGAACTGGGATGGATCAATTTCTATAAATGTATTTATTGTTTGGGCTTTTCAGTGTTAAAACTGGAAATATTATTGGTTAATGAATGTTATTGTTGAATATTACTGGTCCTTTAATATATCTGTTACTGTATTATGGCCAATTTCTATTATTTATTCTGTTAAATGTTAAAATATTGGTTCATCTTTATGTTACCAGTTTTGTATGCTAAATCTGTTGATATTGAATGACACACTGTTGTTATTGGTTCTTTATTATGTATTTATTGGGCCATTAATATTTTAGGTTGCAGCATGGCTGAGGGGTTTATGCATCACTTAGATGCTAAGTATTGCTAGACATTTGGGTTCAAACCCCGTTGGGGGAAGGTCTTTGTTTCCTGAAGCAAGAAACTTAACGCTTATTTTCAATATTAGTTGGTTGTAGTGTTTCTATAAGCTTACAGCTTGACATAGTCATTAAAACTTAAATAGATTTAGTTTAGTTTAAACATATTTATTTAAGCTTGACTGCGAAATAAGTTCTTGCAACTTATTTTAATCACTTTTGAGTCCGTTTTCTGGAACAAACCAGTACTGGCGTCATATGAAGAAACATTGTGGTGACCCATGATCTGATCCCTGAGTGAGAGGCAGGCACCTTAACCACTAGGCCATCACTCCCATATAGCTAAAATAGATGCCTTTTGATTCAACCAAATTGATATTATTGGTCTTTAAAGATATCTGTTTATCATTGGACCATAACATCGAGTGTAGATCAGTTTTAAAATGCAATTTACTCTGACTTATTCAATAAATAAGGTACAAATTCAGGTTTAAGTTAATATGTAATTTATACATATTGTATATTGTTTAATAAATATTTTTTGTATGCAGAATTTTCTAAAATACTCAATGAAAATCTCAAAGGTTTATGTTCAGTGAAATCATGTGGCATTGTTTTGTAGGTAGAAATCAAACTATTTATTGGTGTTTTATTCCAGACATGTAACAGTCGGGCATTTCTTTGTTAATCATTTTTAGCTCACCTGTCACAAAGTGACAGGGTGAGCTTTTGTGATCGCTTTTCGTCTGGCGTCCGTCCGGCGTCCGTCGTCCGTAAACTTTTACTTTAAATGACATCTCCTCATAAACCACTCAGCCAATTTCATCCAAACTTCACAGGCATGTTCACTTGGTGGTCACCTTTGAAAATTGTTCAAAGAATTTAAATCCATGCAGAACTCTGGTTGCCATGGCAACCAAAAGAAAAAAACTTTAAATATCTTCTTCTAAAAAACCCAAAGAGCTAGAGCTTAGATATTTGGCATGAAACATCTTCTAGTGAGTGTCTACCAAGTTTGTTCAAATAAAAGCCCTGGGGTCAAAATTGGCCCCGCCCCAGGGGGTCATTGATTTTCCCTATATGCATATAGTAAAAACTTAAAAAATCTTTTTTTAACGAACCCAAAGAGCTACAGCTAAGATATTTAGCATGAAACATCTTCTAATTGGTGTCTATGAAGTTTGTTCAAATAAAAGCCCTGGGGTCAAAATTGGCCCCGCCCCAGGGGGTCATTGACTTTCCCTATATACCTATAGTGAAAACTTAAAAAATCTTCTTTTAAAGAACCCAAAGAGCTAGAACTAAGATATTTATCATGAAACATGTTCTAATGGATGTCTACCAAGTTTGTTCAAATAAGAGCCCTGGGGTCAAAATTGGCCCCGCCCCAGGGGTCATTCATTTTCCTTATATGTGTATAGCAAAAACTTTAAAAATCTTCTTTGAAAAAACCCGAATAGCTTGAGTTTAGATATTAAGCATGAAACATCTTCTAGTGAGTGTCTACAAAGTTTGTTCAAATAAAAGTCCTGGGGTCAAAATTGGCCCCACCCCGGGGGGTCATTCATTTTCCTTATATGTGTATAGCAAAAACTTTAAAAATCTTCTTTGAAAAAACCCGAATAGCTAGAGTTTAGATATTAAGCATGAAACATTTTCTAGTAAGTGTCTACAGATTGTTCAAATAAAAGCCCTGGGGTCAAAACTGGCCCTGCCCAGGTGTGTCATTGTTTTTAACTATATGTGTAAAGAAAAAACTTTAAAAAATCTTCTTTTAAACAACCCAACAAGCTAGACCTTAGATGTTTAGCATGAAACATCTTCTAATGGGTGTCTACCAAGTTTGTTCAAATAAAAGCCCTGGTGTTTAAACTGGCCCCGCTCCGGGGGCCTATATACAGGTGAGCGACTTCAGGGCCATCATGGCCCTCTTGTTTAACATGTGATGTGGACATGATTAAAGAGATTTTCACTAGTCTAGTAAAATTTAGAAGAACTGAGGATACAAGTTTCAGATTGAGAACCTCTTGCAGTGACCCCTGTAAAACTAGTGATGTACTGTTGGTTTAATATATAGCTTAGATTTAATATATAAGTACAAATGATGAATACCTACAAAAAAAGTTTGAAAAATCTAAAATAATATGACCGATTCTTACATGTAGGTCGATATTCATTTGTTGAAAGATTTCATACAGTTGTTGTGCACATTGAAAATGAAAGCATTTTACATTTTCTTCACATGTGGAAAAGTGAAAAATTGTTATTGTAATGTAATTTACTGTATATTGTACTTTACAAAATACACAAGTTTTTGTGTGCATTGATAAATATAGTTCAGTTTCTTATATTATTATGTGTGTTTACCACATATTGAAGTAAGTAAAAAAAACAACAGTTTATTTTGTTCTCACTTTTCATTTTAGGTTATTCAGTGTCTTAATATTGTGATATTTAGAATTATATGGTGTAAATTTTAGGGACATTTGATCTGTGAATATAATTCTATTTACAAATTATCATTTGCAATATTACTCTGTAAAAACATTAATGTGGCTCACTTTGAAAAAAATGTCTGCAGGGGGGAACTAGACTGTAGGGGTAAAAATATGACAGTAGGGGGGCTTTGACTATAGATATGAACAATTGACTCTAGGGGGTACTCAAGTATAGGGGTGAAAATATGACTGTAGTAAGAATTTGACTGTGTGTTTGGGGTATGATTGTAAGGGTGAAAGTATGGCTGTAAGGAGAATTTTACTGTAGGGGTGGAAAAAAATACTTAAGCGGGAATGCAACTGTAGAGGGGGTGGCTTGACTGTAGGGAAAAATATGACTGCAGGGGTGATAGTATGCCTGTAAGGAAAATTTGGCTGTAAAGAATTGAAAATATAACTGTATAGGGAACTGTGGAAAGATTGGTTCTTGTATGGTACTTTCGACAGAAAAAGTAAAATATTTACCCTTAAGTTAGCTTGCTGACAGCAAAATATTTTACCCATGCTACCAGTGCAGACCAAAATCAGTTGGCATATATATGTGCTATCTGGGCTGCATTGTTTGCTGTTTAGGTAATACATGTTATTATTTTCCCCTACAAATGATCAATGGTTTAGTCCATATTGTAAGATAGACAAGTCCATTTTAAATATTTAGCGTGGT